TACTCGAGCTCAGAGAGAAAAGCCTCGGTCCGTTCGAATAGCGTTTTTTAACGCGTTCGGATTAAAAAAACAAAAGGAGGAAATCGCCTCCTTTCTCACTGACCACCAAGTCGATATTCTCCTCGTGCAGGAGACCCTACTGAAACGTTCAGTCCGCGATCCTAGAATCGCCAATTACAACTTATTTAGGAACGACCGCACCGCCTGTAGAGGCGGCGGTACGCTCATATACTATAAACGGTCCCTACATTGTATACCGCTACAAACACCGCCTCTCACTCATATGGAGGCCTCCGTCTGTCTTCTCGGCATGACCGGCCACCGACCGCTCGCCGTGGCATCCGTATATCAGCCTCCCGGCAAACTACTGCTTGAAAGCGACCTACGCGCCCTCCTAGATATCAACAGCGCCACCATTCTGGCTGGCGATTTGAATTGTAAACACACCCGCTGGAACTGCCACGTGTCCACGACAAACGGCCACAAACTAGACAGACTAGCCGACTCGCTCGAATTCGAGGTAATCGCCCCGCTCCGCCCTACTCATTATCCCCATAACGTGAACCACCGACCCGACATACTGGACATGGCACTGCTGAGGAACGTAACCCTACGGGTGAGCTCCCCAGAAGTCCATGCCGAGCTTAAGGACCATCGACCGGTAACCCTCCTTCTGGGCCCTCCGCCCGACACGCCACTACCAACCAAAACAATAACAGACTGGCAACGACTCGAGAAATCTCTCGAATCGACCGACACACCGATACTAAACCGTATTCCCGACGTCATAGAGTCCACCGAGGACACTCTCATTGCTATCGACTCGCTTACTAACCACCTGCAGTCGGCAGTCAAGGACTGCTCCAGGGAGGTACCGGCGACGGACGACCGTCGCTGGCAGCTCCCCGATGACGTAAGGAGGTTAATAAGCGATAAGAACGCAGCCACTATACGATCGCTACCCTCCGAACCGAACCGGGTGCGCCTGCGAGCCTTACAGCGTAGCGTTAAGGAGCGCATCGCGCAGATCCGGGACGGCCGGTGGGGCAAGCTCCTAGAAGCTCCTAGAAGTACTGGCGCATAGCGAAATCTCTCAAAACCGACCAACAGACAAACGACATGCCCCCGCTAGTCCGACCCGACAACACTATAGCCTTCTTCGACGAAGACAAGGCTGAGTGTCTAGCGTCCAACTTAGAAACCCAATGCTCCCCCAGCACGCTCCCAGTCGAGGCAGGTCATCTCGAGAAGATAGACACCGAAGTCGAACGCATCGCGTCCACCCCGCCCACCGAATCCCTCTCACCAGTCACGCTTGATGAGGTCAAAAAGCTAGTTAAACAACTACCTATCAAAAAATCACCCGGCTCAGACGGCATATCGAATAGATTAGTCAAAAGTCTGCCATCCCAACTTTTGTTATTACTCGTCGCTATTTTTAACGCGGCGCTGTCCAACGCTATATTTCCAGACAGCTGGAAAGAAGCCGTGGTCATTGGCATCCCCAAGCCCGGTAAAAATAAATCCGACCCGTCTAGTTATCGTCCTATCAGCCTCCTCAAGGCTATAGGCAAGCTGTACGAGCGAATCCTCCTCGCTCGCCTAAAGGAGTTTATATACTCCAAAGGCCTTCTCATCAATGAGCAGTTTGGTTTCCGAGCCAAACACTCATGCGTCCATCAAGTGCACCGCATCACGGAGCACATTCACAAAAACACTCTGTACTTCGCCACCAAGTCCCCCAAAGGCGGTACAGGCGTCCTATTTTTCGATGTGGCTAAGGCTTTCGATAAAGTCTGGCACAACGGCTTGATTTACAAGCTTCATCAGTTAGGTGTCCCCGACAGGCTAGTACTCATTGTACGAGACTTCCTGTCGAATCGCTCTTATCGCTACCGTATAAACGGAGCGTTTTCCGACCCGCACCCCATACGAGCCGGCGTCCCTCAGGGCGCCGTCCTCTCTCCGATGCTCTTTTGTACACCAACGACATCCCTAAATTCTCCGACTTAAAAGTCGAAATATCGCTGTTTGCCGATGACACGGCTCTCTTTACATCCGCCAAGTCCCGTGCGACAATAGCCAGACGGCTTCAGAAAGCCGTAACGATACTGGGCGAATGGTTCTCGGTGGCGCATAGAAGTCAATCCCGAAAAAAGTGCAGCAGTGTACTGCAGGGAATTCGACTCTATGAATCATCCGATCGAACTATTCGGCCAAAACATCCCGTGGGTTTCGAAAACGAAATATCTCGGCGTCACCCTAGATAGGAAACTAACGTTTCGTCCTCACATCAAGCATGTCCGCGACCGAGCCGCCTTTATACTAGGGCGACTCTATCCTTTTATTAACAAGCACAGTAAAATGTCGCTTCGCAACAAGCTGACATTATACAAGGCTTGCATCCGTCCCATCATGACCTACGCTAGTCCCGTATTCGCCCACATACCCTACTGCTTAATCAACAAACTGCAGGTCATTCAGAATAGGTTTCTGCGTCGAGCCACCGGTGCGCCGTGGTTCGTTCGCAGCGTAGATCTCCACCGCGATCTTAATCTGCCCTCCATCAAGCAGTTTATGAAGGAAGCGTCTCGACGCTACTTCGACTCTGCCCAATCCCACCCTAATCCGCTTATAGTCAGTGCGGTCGACTACGCACCGAGGAGTAATATCCGACATACGCGACAACGTCGCCCGAGGCACGTTCTCATTGACCCCGACGACCCCATAACGGCAGGTAACCTCCCCACGGGCCCACCCGTTCCACCCCGACCACACTTTTACACACACACACACGACACCGTCCTCGCCGGCGAAGACGACGACCTCAAACACACAATATCGCGCCACACCGGCGCCCTCGGGCGCCCCTCCGATCGATCCCCCGTCCAATTCAAACGGGGATCGAAATTACGACGGCCTGAGCCGAGTTTCGAACCCCTAGTGGTGCCCTCAGACTAAAGTCGTATCCGTCGGGCAGGAGTTGGCCTTCAGCCGCTCCATAAGTCCTTCCGCGGGTTTGGAGTGCCATCTGCACTCGCCCCATAACGTCCGGTGAAGCTGTAAAGGCCAGCTACGGCCAACAGCATTAGAGTAGTCCGAAAAAAAAAAAAAAAAAAAAAAAAAAAAAAAATTTCAAGTTAACAAAATAAAAACGCCGCAAGATATATTAGAAAACAAACGGATACCAACGAAAAGAGAAGCGCTCAGCATCATCATGGCACTTCGACCCCCTTGGCCTCATATCACCCATCACAACGCCAGCGAAAAGATTACTGCAGGATACATGGCGCTATAAAACAGGCTGGGACGAATCGCTACCAGAAGAACTGCAGCCAGCATGGAGTACTTGGTTGACATCATTGCGAACTGTACACAAAAATACGCATACCACGATGCTATGATGTCACACCAATGGTCATATCATCTGCATACCTTCGTGGATGCCAGTGAAGAGGCGTACGCCGCGGCAGTGTACTGGCTGTCACAAAGAGCCGACGGTACCACACCTGTCACCTTGGCCGCCGCTAAAAGTCGCGTCGCACCGCTCAAGCCCGTCTCAATCCCGAGACTTGAACTTCAAGCTGCGTTAATGGGTGCGCGCCTCGCACATACCGTGGCGGAGGAGCACGACTACGAAATAGCGAGTAAAACATATATATATATATATAGCATGGATAAGGTCAGAACCAAGGGCCTTTAAGACCTTTGTGGCTCACCGCCTGGCTGAAATAGAAGACACAACAAAAAAAAATGAATGGCGGTGGGTCCCTACACATGAAAATGTAGCTGATGATGCCACCCGAGGTATACCAAGCGAATTCGGACCACAGCACAGATGGTTCAACGGGCCATCATTTTTACATCAGCCAGAAAACGAGTGGCCGCGAGAAACAAGGACAGCGATATCAGTCACGGGCGAAGAGCGAGAGAGATGCCATGTGACCGTTACAAGTACGGCTCACGCACACTTACCTGACATCGACCGATTCTCGCGGTGGCTGCCGCTCATCAAATCGACTGCGCGCGTGCTACAATTTGTCGATCTCTGTCGACCTCAAAGAAATATTGTAGCCGCCACGAAGAAACGAACCAAGCAGAATGAAAAGGGCGATGTTGACTGGAAAAAAAGAATAATGAAAAAATCATAACAAGAAATGGAAGAACGAAAATAACGACGCCCAGCATCCCGGTGCCAGCGCAGTACCTACTTGAAGCCGAGAGAATGTGGATGCGAGCCTGCCAGGAAGATAGTTTCGGGAATGAAATATTGCGAATAAAAAAGGGAAGTCCATTGAATAAACAAGACAGACTGACAGCGCTAAGTACCTACATCGACACAACCGGAATGCTGCGATTAAGAGGACGAATTACAGCAACATCGAACGTAGAAAAGGATGTACTCAACCCACCCGTGTTAGACGGGAAACACAGATATACACGTCTGTATATACAACATATACATGAAACAATGCACCACGGCGGTATAGAAGCGGTAGTGAATGAGCTACGGCAGCGGCTGTGGGTTGTAAAAATAAGACCCACAGTACGGAACGTCATCAAGGGGTGTCTGGTCTGCCAGATAAGAAGAAAGAAGCCAGCAAGCCCACCGACCGGTGACCTGCCTGCCGCCCGCCTAGCGCATCACGCTCGCCCCTTTACCTACACAGGGCTGGACTACTTCGGCCCCATTGAAACCACAGTCGGACGGCACCGAGAAAAACGGTACGGCGCCCTCTTCACGTGTATGACATCACGAGCCATACACATTGAAGTGGTGCATACCCTCGGCACTCATTCAGCCATCGCCGCCCTAAGGAGGTTCATGGCTCGGCGAGGTTGTCCAACGGAAATATGGAGCGACAACGCTACGTGTTTCAAGGCAGCTGAAAAGGAACTCAAGGCGGCTATGGCAGCACTAGAAGAGGAGGCCACCAACCGCAGCATCGCGTGGAGGTACATCCCACCCGCTGCTCCCTTCATGGGCGGGGTATAAACGCATGGTGCGGTCAGTAAAGGAAGCCCTACGAGTTACGCTGCACGAGCGTTATCCCACAGACGAGACATTGGTGACCCTGCTAGCCGAGGTGGAGAATACAGTCAACTCCCGACCTCTCACTCACGTGTCCGTCACACCGAGCGATCCGGAGGCATTAACACCGAACCATATCCTGATCGGCCCCAACTCACACGTGCCTAATCCCGGAGTGTTCAACAAAGGAGATATGAACGCACGACATCATTGGCGACGAGCACAAGCGTTAGCAGATGAGTTCTGGAGGCGCTGGGTGGTGGAATACCTACCCTTACTTCAACACCGGCGGGAGCCCCAGAGGTACCGGTGTTCCCCCCAAGGTTGGCGACACAGTCATCATATGCGACCCCAACCTACCCCGAAATACATGGCCACGGGGACGCGTTGTGAAGACCTACCCCGGGAAAGATAACCCCAACACGGTGCGAGTGGTAGACATCACAACGAGCAACGGGCGCACCCTGAGAAGACCAACAAAACGAATCGTCGTGCTACCAGTAGAATCGCAGGATAGCGACGGCGGGAGAAATGTACACGACGGAATCAATTAGATATAATTAGTATAAGCAAAATTTGTAAGATCATTTTTGTTAATAAAAATAAATCACGCAACGTACAGTTGCAGTAGGGAAGGCCACCCGTCGGGCGTCTATATAAAGAGCGCGGCCGCGCAGCGGTCCGCATTCACCGGCGAGACAGCGACCCGATAGGTGCCTTCCTACCAAGTACAAGATAACAACCGAGCATTTTTATTTCGCCGCCCGACCATACGACCAGGGGATCCTAGTATATAGTCCTGTCATCATCAGGCTCTGACGCGGAAGAAATACTGCAACTCGTAAATTTGAATACCTACACAGTTTTTATTTTTAGTTGACATAATTACCTACCTATGATTACAATACCTACGAATTATTATGCGGACTCCCTGAGCAATAATAATCAAGACGGACCGCTACGTACAACAAATGTGAAGCCATTGTACTGTAAATGTGAAATTAGAAATATGCTTTCCAAATTGTACTGATTTAATTAATATTTTTGGCTTTACTTTTACTGTACGTCGTGTATTCTCCTAACCTTTTTATGATGGAGGCGTTGAGTAATACTTTAAGGTACATAAATGTAATGAACTAATGCTGCCAAAGGTCCCTAAGTACCTAAACCAATATTTCCACGGGAGATTGTTAGTAATAGCACAGATAACATTATATTACATAGTAATAGTCTGTTTGTATGATACATTACTGTTAATGCATTATTTGATTATAATCAAATCAAACCAGGCTAGGACCCGCACACAAACGGTCCTGGAAACTACCTCTATTCATTTGTAGTAAATTCCCATCATGAAATAACTGACCTGCTGCGTTAAGGCGACGCCGTGATAAACTATTACTTCAAAATCGAGCAAATCGGTTTACGCTGGAAGGGCACCAGTATAAGATGATCGTAAAGTTAGATCAGTTAGTGGATTAACTTCTTTGCAAATGGCAGTTTACTACAATGATCTCCAGGGGGAACCGTGTGAAAGTCAATCGACGTGGTACATTGCTAGCAATGGGGTCATTACTAACAATCCCTTCAAATGTCTCCAATCTCTAATCCCCCCTAATCACTATAGTACCCATACAACATAAAAGATTTCTTAGGTAGAATGTGAAGATGATCCTCACATAAAACCTTTAGTTGTAATGTTTCCGGGATTGCTGGAAAAAGATCCGCAAACATTACAAGGAATGTTGAATAAAGCTATGTCTACTACTGAAGTTACAAAGCATTTGGTGGATTTGGGGCAGAAAGCAAATTTTACTTTTATGAAAAAAGCTAATCGTCTGATCCCTCGTGATAAGGTAAGTGGCTTATCACAAAATCTTGTTAGCTCAAACAGATTAAATACCTCCCTGCTGTGTTAAAATATTTTTACAGCAATGGCTGGAAAATTTGACGGAAAATAGCAATTCATTTAGTTCAATGGCATCCAAAGTTTAACGGACTGTAAGTAAAATTTGTCTTTAACTATTGAGTGGTTATAAATGATAATATTGTTTTTATGATATATTTTTTTAATTAGATCTGATGTAGCACAACTCATCCAGGTAGGTTATTTATATTATATATATATATATATAAAATCTGGTTATACATATGAAACGTCCCATTAAGACAATCCGTACTCATTACATAGTACTCGTACCTATAAAACAAAGTCGCTGTCGCTGTGTCTCCCTATATATACTCACATATTTAAAACTACGCAACGGATTTTGAAGCGGTTTTTTAAATAGATAAAGTGATCCAAGATGAAGGTTTATATGTAGATAATAATACATGCATAGTGTTCTGATACTAAATATACCTAATATTTAGTATTGCACCTGTGCGAAGCCGGGGCGGGTCGCTAGTACCTAAATAATTATACTAATAGAAATAGAAATAGAAATAATCTTTATTCAAATAAAGTCATTACAAGCACTTTAGAATTTTTTTAATTAAAAAAATCGTTGCTGTATATTAAACTTTTTTATGTAGAATATTAGAATGCACATGCTTGCGCTAACAGGATCTTTACGCTGCCGGTGTTAGTTAATGTTAGTTTACCCATCGTCGTGAATTGACCACTCTGCGCCGTGAACCTTGTACATATCAATCTGACTTGGTATAATGCTTGCTATTACGTATGTCACTAATGGAGAGTACATTCCCCCAGCTTCTGCACTCATGTTCCTTATTGAAATATTTACGCACCTACTTGCTATAAAATGAAAATGGAATCTGCAAATCATTTCTGAAAGTGGTAACTATAACTCAATCATACTGTACAACGCACTATTAAATAACACGTTATTTGAACAAGGCATTACGGGTGATTACGAGGCTAGTGGCGAGATAACAGAGAGTGCTGAACAGAAACGAAATAGAACTGAAACAGAAGAAACTTACGACTATTCAGTGTCGAGTACGTCGCAGGATGTATTATTCAATGTCGAACAAATTATATCAGACATTATTGAAGATTTATGCGGTAAAAAGTTCTTTTAGTATTTAAGTACCTATTAACTGTCCATGAAACAACGAAAGTATCCTAATATTATATTTAGAATATAATGTAGTTGTGTACCAAATTTCATGTGAATCACTCGATATTTTTTGCATGAAAGAAAGTAGCAAATAGTCATCCTCAAAAGTTTTTCCTTTTTTAATATTAGTAAAATAATATACAACATTGACAATAATAATTAAAATACTATACCAAAATTCGGTGTCACTTTAAATTCATAACAATCCTATAGTGATGTACGATAATCTAAGATCCAAGCTATATCCAATATATGGTATATTCAGTAATAGAAATAGATAGATATAGTCATGTCACTTAGAACTTCCATTATAACGTCGTCCGTAACAACTTCGTGGTAATGCTTCAGACTAGGTACTCTTAACTGAAATTATAGTCGTGAAAACCCCTTCTTGGAGATTTTACTAATATCAGAGTCTCAGTAGGTACTGTGGGATTTTGTTCAAGTAAAAAAATTGTTTCTGATGTTTGTAGAATTTGTGAAGTTAAGTGAAATTGTAGAACTAGGTCCAACAAATCGAAACAATAGCGCATATATTAATTCTCTGCGTTTTGTCTCTATTATTACTTCTAAATTTCATTATAAGCAGCTATTTTAATAGTTTATTATTTGAGAGAAATAGAGATGATTATATTATTATTATAACAGAAAACATTACGTCACGTCCTCAATAAGTAAACCTTATACGAATATATTGACATATATCTCACCAATAATAACATATCTTATATTTCAGGACAGGATACAATAAGAGGGAGATAAATCACCAAACAATACATAATTACAAATAATTATTATTCGTTATATAAATAAATAAAATTAAGAAAATAATTTTATTGTATTTTTGTCTGAACAGGCATATTAATAATAACTGTTTTAAATATATGATCGAGAAAGCTAAAAATATGTTTATAAGGTAAGCGTAACATTTTCTTTCTTTTTGTATGTAGTCATTAATACATACACAACAACAAAATATTGATTAAAAATACTAGAAGCATAAAAATCTGAATTTTTACATTAATGACTTATATACAACATTAATAAATACTTAAATATATAGGATATTATGCCCTTAAAAATAGGTACACAATAGAAAACAATGCCATAGGTCTATTAAGTGTCACACAATTGTTTACACATATATACACACATTAATTTTTCAAACTTATTTTTCAAGAGTATGCTTGAAAAATTTTATGGAATAATTAGCTGAACCATAGCGGTTAAACACGATAAAACTCAGTATATTAATTGAGGTAAAACGCACAGAATTTTTAATTTTCATGAATTAATGCTAAAATTGTATATTTTTATTTTTAGTGACTAGATTTGTAGTCTAGATGAACTTCGCATTTACGCATTAAAATTAAACATGATTATTAATATACTTAGGTCGGAATCAATTTTAACCAAGTGCCCGAACAAATAGAAAAAAAAATTAACACTCAGATGTACTAATTTTTAATAAAAGAAGCACCCATGGGAATAATGCAATTTATTAAATGACGAATACTTCACAATAATTAAAAAATACGAAACTTAATAAAACGTTGAGCATGATTTTTAATAAATACAAACATATATTATACATTACACGTCACTTTATAAAAACTATTCTTAGCGTAGTCTGGAAACATCTGCATTACCTATCTGGTAATGATCACAATACGTAAAAATAATTATTGGAATGATTATTGATTAAAAAATGCTTTATATGTTTGTTGTTATAAAACATTAATCAAAGAACAAATTGCATGTATCTGATATACCCATTTAACAACAAAATTTGGACACAGCAATTCGTGACTGCAGTATAAAAAATTAAAAGTCTAGGAATTAGTACCTACTAACATATATACTAAATATACATATAGTAGAATGAGAAATTATGGAATATATTATTAAATAATGGAAGAGAAAAAGACAATTGAGGTAATAAATAAGTTACTATGGAGTATGTCACGATAACATGTTTATTACTTATTATTGCTCTATATTATTAAAACATGATGTATAAATCTTAGTATGTGATTAACATTTTACTTCTTCATAACATAATATATAAACATGTTTTATCTGATTAAAATACAAATGTTTCCAGCCTGAGATCATCTATAACTAAGGTACGTCACATGAATTTCATGATATTCCCCCACCCCCTTCCCCACTTTCTATTCAGGTATTCACATTTGTAAAATCCCTAGAGTGGCGTAAATTTTTATTTTTATAGAAATTGGAACTATTTTCAAGTATTATTAATTTGTTAAGTGTTAAAAAATCTAGAATAAACATACTATATTTTACGTATAGAAAGTAATGATTTCTGTCACTCCTTGTCGCACAACACAACATGTGACGTAATTTATAGATAATCTCTTACGATAAACCCTAATGGCTGCCATGTGACAATTTTGTCAAACTTCTTTCTGATATAATTTGGCCAACTTACTTACCCACTTGATACATTAATAATCAGAACATATTTAAATAAGTAAAGAATTCACCAACAATAATAATCGCATCAATTTTTAAAGGATTAGTAGAACTTCTTAGTCCCTATCTCTCATCTAAGCATGTAATTTCTTCTATGAATTGATTTTAATTGTTTTTACTATGTTTAATATAGCTCTAATGTATATAGTTCTTAGGGTAGAGGTATACAATCAAGGTTGAGGTCCTTATTTGTCACTTAAGTTATTAAAGTTATTGCACCTGAGTTTAAAGACAAAGTTTACAACATAGTATATATCATTCCTAGGAGGCTTACTATCAAAATAAGTAGATATATATTAGATCTCTGTCGATAACTTAGGCACGTACTCTTTTACTGTTTTTGATTTATTATTGACTAATTATTGCTTGTGACCTCTGGCATTTATATTTTATTATTATTAATTGTATGATTTTTTCGACGTATTTGTGCAATATTTTTATCATTTTAAGTTAGAGAGTATGTTTTTAAAATATCATATACATACACGGTGTTGACAACAAATGTACAGTCAAGAATGTCCTAACATTGAGTTTATAAACTATAAATTAATATGGATATTTTTTGGCTGTAATATTAGTAGGAGTAACAATTATTTCGGAATCAGTAGGTCAATACCATCCATACATAATACATTATCTAGATTAGACTTCTCACTCAATATTATTCATTAATTATATTGAGTTATGATCATATTTAACAACATCTATATTAACTAACTATTAATCTGCATTTACAAAAGGAGGCACTAATACCAGACATTTCTATTGTAGTATTCATTTAATAAATTAAGATCTTAAAACTGTTTGTAAAAACTACCATTTATGCAAAAATGCATATACTATGTGCAATACATATAGATATATATATTTAAACTAGCATACTACGAGTATATGTATGCGCAGCTCATGGCTCATAACATAACTATTTCATTCGTGTAAAGCTGGTTTGTATAGAACTTCTATTACTAGTTCCAAGGTGTCTATACTTTACTGTATTAATAGATTCAATATAAAAGTTACGTAAAACTTTTGCTTGATAACAACTTAAAAATCTCGGAAATTTCGAATAAAATCATCATTATATATAAACAAGGCACGCATTTTATACAATATGAAATTCTGTGTTACTTCCAGATTTGACACCAGTTAAATATAAATTACACACTTGGCAAAGGAAGAGGTTATTACTTTCCGGTTAATGAAGAGTATAACTTTGGTTGAACATATCCTGATGAATTTGAATAAATAGTGTACTAGTTCCATTAATTGTGCCATTAAATTGGAAGCACATTCACGAAAATTAAAAAGACTAATTTCCAAATAGGGGGATATACATGTAAGTACTAACATACACATAACAACATAAATATGTTAAACGAAACTTAAATATGTCCATATTATTGTTCTGAAATAATGAACTTTTGCACAATAAAGGGGATATTAAACCATAAAAATTAAGTATACCATATAGAACACTTAGTATAAGATAACAGGTGTTTTACATTATTTATGGAAGATTTTCAATGTCCATGTCAATGTCCGAGTCATCTTGTTTAGCAGTTGTATTTAAATAGGACATATTATAAAAAAATAATGCAAGAATTAAATATATACCTGCGCATCAAAATATTATAGTAATAAATAAACAAACTGCTTAGGTACTAAGAGAAACTGCAAGAATGTACTTAACAAGAAACTTAAAACATTTTCTTAAGATAGCTTGGAAGATATATGCAGCTATGAAAAGAAAAATGGCAAATTGAATTTTTACATAACTGCGATTGTATAAACCGACTTTTATTGAAACTGAGGCGAAAAAAGCCGTTTAAAAGTTAGGTGCCAAGAACTTTAACATTAAATTCATATTGGAGTGCTGATTTTTTGTTTGATTTCCTGTTTTGCAGTCCGGCCGTGCTGAAAGCACTACAAAACAGGAAATCACACAACAAATTGATAAGCGAGTACACTACGCCATAGATAAGCATGATATCTTAGTACAAATGAGTTATTATCCAACGCAACCTAGCAACTTCGAACTTTGAATCGCTAGAGAGCTACTAAAATCTAAAACCAAAGATGAACATTGATTGTAAACAATCATATACAGCAATTGCAGTAGGAAATCAACAACTACTAAACTTAAATAGGAAATCCTCAAAATAATAAAATCATTGCATGCTTTTATTATTTTGCCTGTGCATGCATAGTAAGGAAAGTGACAAAAACATTGAATATAAAAATAAACTTCTGTACTAGTATTTATGAATTAATAATTTTCTAACTGCTGCTGACACATTTGTGTCAAATTAAGCAAGAAATTCATGTGATGACAAATGTTGACAATTGATTTCAAAATACGCATGTATAATTAATATGAACATTGTAATAAAGCTACACTTCTATTGTAGTGAAAATTGTAATTATTGAGCTACACTTCTATTGGTCCTGAGCACATATTTAATTTCTACAGATTATGTTAATTTTTGAAAACCTGTAGCCTGCTAATCGAATGTGACATATTAATATATCCTTGAAAATTATGTTGCGCCCTAGAACCTGAAACGGGTAGGACATGTAGTTTCCAACAACAAAGTTTTTGTATTTTCCCTTGTGCTATTTAGGTATATATATAAAGGAAAATTTCATATCAAAAATATATATATGAAATTATGTTGTGGTACATACTCGTCCTAGTGAAAGAGTATGCTGCTAATTACCCAGTTAACAGGTTAACATATATAAATGTATCCACAAATTTTTGAGATTATCATTATGTATTGCTGTAGTGTTCATATGCTATACAAACTCTATTATAATTAACACAACCAAGAAACTGTGAAAGGTACTTTTGACACAGTTAATTTATGTATACTAAGTACTAGGGATGGGTTTTCATTACATGCAAATAATTTTTTTAAGACTATTACAAAATTACTTGAATAGTCATGACTACAAAGACACACTATCAGTTAAAGTAATTATTATGTCATAAATATATATAAGTCCCTTTCACGATTTTAAGTATAATTTAGATAAAATTGTACTTAAGTTTTTTATAATTCTATAAACGATTAACCCTAGCATTTCTATAAAAATATAATTTAAACAGAACACACCCTGAATCACTAACATACGGTATAGAAACAAGCAGTCACTTACATCCTGAAAAGAACACACCGAGTCAGTAAGGAAACCAAGAGCGCGCGTGCTCCGCGCCGGCAAAAATGACGCCGCCGACGAGCGCTAGCGCCAGGGCGGCGGCGGCCAGCAGCCGTCAGCCGCGTGCAGGCAGCGCGGCAGGGGCGCGCAACGCGCAGCGTCATTGCGTCGGCTTCAGCGCCGCCAGCTTCCGGCCGCGTGCACGTGCCTCTTGTCGCGACGTCGTGTACTCAAACCATAACACGTTAGGTATCAAAGTGGTGTCTCTTATCATCAGCATTTCAAATAACTTCCTGGAATTTAATAAGATAAAGCTTTGTAACATGTAGGCAGGTTATTTGGAAAATATAAAAAAGCGAACAAACTATATATTAATATTTACACTGACAAATTATTATTATTGTTTGATAGTATCTCAGGTTCAATTTCAAATAATCAAAAACTTTTATAATTCATTTTCAGTATATAATTAAGATTTAATTGTTCTGCTTATTTTGGAATTTCATAAATGGATTGGCCAGAGTTAGGCAAGGAAATATTAACATTTTTAAATAATAATAAAACAATTGCTTACATTGACACCAACTGAGGAAAAATTGGTGTGAAAACTCTATGCACTAATGCAAACCATACAGAAGCAAATAGGAATCCAACAAATCCACCAACAATTACTTGAGTTGTTGTATGGTAGTGCAAATAGACTCTTCCAATGCTGACTAATACAGACAATGTAATGCAACCTGCTACAATCACCATTCGCCATAGAGCAGATATTATACTATTATTATTTATATGGTGTAATCTGGAATAAAAAATATAATAAGAATTATTTTTAACTAGCTCACCCATGAAACTTCGTCTGCATCACACTTACTTGATATTTGTTATTATATATTGCCCAATTTACATGACATCTTTTTAAATTATAGTTTATATATATCATTACATTGTGTAAGCTATCTAACTCTAAAGTTTCATCAAAATCCATTCAGTAGTTTTTGTACAAATATATTTATATTTACAAACTTATACTATTTTATATTTACATTTACAAACATGTATATTTGCAATTACAAACTTTCACAATTATAATGTCAATAAGATAATAATAATTCAAAAGATGTTGCACAGAATAGAATAGAATTTTACAGACACTGCTCTACTATGTAGAGTACAATTGGCTAAAATATCATACTATATCATAGCCAATTGTACTCCACATATAATATATCAATCAACATTTTAAACTCAATAATTGTGCTTCATCTATAAGTTGGAATTCATTTATGGAGAATTTCAGAATGAAATTAACAAGAATTTCATATTTTTACCACATAAAAGACACACGCACACAAAAGAGACAAAAATTCTATAAATTTGTCTTATTCTATTAATACTCTTAATCCTTTTTTGTAAATATAAAAAAAAGGATTAAAGGCCAGGTGTTTTAGGTAAGTAGTAAGAGTACTTCACAGCTTGAATATATTATCAAGTAAGCCTATATTAGTGACAAATTTAAGTACAGGAATGTACATACATGTAAAACATAATTTATAATATTTTTTTACCTGATTAATACAAAATATAACACATAAATACTGAAAAACCAAACAAATTGGGCATGAGATGATGGCATTCCATATTCATTGTATAAATGTCCTCTTGCTATTGGTCTAGCTTCACAAATAGTATGTTTCAAAATAATATTCAAAAGTTCATTAATTAATGTACCTATAAAAAATGCAATCTGCAAAAGAAGGACACATTTTAATATTGTTAAAAAAATTGTAATTATTTATTTCAACAATTTCAAGTAACCACTTACAGTGTGGAGATCACGTCTAAATAATATTAGTGCAACAAATCCAGCACCAATTCCAAATGGAGCTAAGCTTATAAGAGCAAAAAATTTTCCTAATATATCACCTGAAAAAAAAATTGTTTCAGGTATCATTGGTGATAAATAGCTATTATTTGTAGCTTGTTACTATATTGTACTGATTCATAAAGATGCTGCATATTTTAAATAATTGGATACCTTTAGGATATTCAACCAAAGTGAGAGCAAGTGGTTGCCACTCAATGTCACCATTATTAAGCAACACATCGCTAACTGACAAAATTGTATCCTCCATTATAACATCATCTAAGAAATAATTGTACATAAATTCATTAGATATTATTTATTATTTCTTAAAACTATAAAATTTTCAATAGTGTAATATTAGTAAATCGGCGTTCAAGAAAAACAAGTCAAAAATTATAAATGTCATTTTGACATTTTGATGGTCATGGCTTTGACGTATACATACATGGCACAGATCAGTAGAGTTTTTTCTTAGTAGTAGTAACTGACGTATATTATTTTATCCAAAAAAGGAATAAAAAGGATTTTATGGAATACATTGTGTTGTTATCTTAAATCACGCTCATTTTACCCTTTGTTTCTCTAAATACGATAACTCTATGCTTCCACCCACTACTGCTGTTAAGGGGATCTTCCTATGTGATGGGTTGAAAAAATCGATTTTTTTTTTTCATAAATTGCTAATCTTCAGTAGTATTTCCATGAGAGTTTTTGAAGATATGAGAAAAGAAGTTTGGGCAACGTACTTAGTATGTCATTCATCCCGCTAGATAATTCGCCAATGTTGAGCCATGAATATTTTTTACCTTTTAAGGAATGATTTTTATTGAGACCTCGTTGTTAAATTTGTAACTGACGCTTGTGAGTAGAAGACATTATATTTAGAAGTACGTACTGAAAAAAGGAATAAAAAGCGTTTTCATTGTTTCGTAGATTTTATGGAATACATTGTGTTGTTATCTTAAATCACGCTCATTTTACCCTTTGTTTCTCTAAATACGATAACTCTATGCTTCCACCCACTACTGCTGTTAATTATTTGCCAAAATATTTATAGTCCAAATATGTGTTAATAAATGATAAAAAACTTGTTATAAAATAATGCTAATAAAATATGCTAACATTTTTCAATGTCAAATAGTAGAAAAAAGAGTAAAATGTAAAAAATGCTCGGATTTTTTACATTTTACTCTTTTTTTCTACAACAGAATCAAGCTCTCGCTAGCTTTTTCAGTTAATTCGTTCATTTACCAGTTGAATTCTTGCAAGTCGAGTTGGCAGAATTCAACTCATGTTAACTAGAATTCAGCGCAACTTGATTTAATAACTCTAGTTGACACATCTCTACTTTCACTAGCGAATAGCAAACGGTTACTCTATTTTTCCTAATTTGAATTTAAAAATGGTCTGCATTATTGTAAACATGTATAACATTTATTTGAAAGGAATACGAGCTGAGTTTCTTGTTATATTCTTCTCATCTCGAAATCATTCCTAACGAAGGTAGATTTGACATATCATAAGAGTCTGCAATATACATGAGTAAAGATATTTTGATTTTTTTTATAGTAGGCCATTTCGCTTTAAGTGGATAACGCTTTAATTGTTTAAATTTTACTAGATATTGATTTCCGAAAATCGATAAAAGTACATTAAGTAGACGTACGAGGTTAAAGTTACAATTGAGACCATATACGATATTTTATCGGATATTTTATTTCTTATTACGACCTTAAACATTTTAATGTTGGTAACTTTGTGGTAGCTCAAAACGACTTGCATCCAGTGTCGTAAAACGTATGAATTAGAGAAAAACGATTTACTACCTCATTCTCTTCATTGAAAGAAAAAAAAGATTTAATATCAAATCTTCAAAATAAATGGTCAATTTACTTGCAACACGTAACTAAAATTGTCTAAATAATTCCAAAAATGGCAGACTCAGATGTAGTGGATTTGGATTTAACCATTGATGATTTAGTTCCTAAAAGCACAGAGAGGTAAATATTTTGTTATTTGACCATTACCCCCACAATAATGTTTCTAGTGAATAATGTTTTGTTTCTTTTCTTTAGTAAAATATAATCCGTTCGTTGATTTTCTAGTATTTTTTAGAAACATGTAAAAGATTTTTGCCTTTACAATATTATTAGTAAGCAGAGAATGGAAAATGTAACTTGTCAGTACCTTGACATTTGACCCACTTGTCGTACATTAGCCAGGAGTTCTATGTGGGCATTTACAAAAGAGAGTAGGTACTTAGTAGTAGCAGATTTAAAATTTAGTTAGACTATTTGTAGTCTGTATGGTACTAATGTTATTGTGTACGTAATGTATTTTCTCTACTTATATAGAATGTAACTGGACTAATTTAGGTTTATTAATTATTCTATATTTAGTTTGTATTATTATTATTAGTTTTATAAATGTTTGGTGAGTTTAATAAAAAAACAAAACAAGTGTAAAATATATGATTTCCTAATATTAAACCTGATAAACCTCTTTATCTTTGGAATTTTTAAACTGTGAATGAATTATCTTTTCATCTTCTTAATATTTCACTTGTGATAATTTTCTTTATCAGTCATAATACAAAAAAACGTGTTGAATGTGTATACTTTCAAAGTAATCCTAAAGATACTTAATACTTAGAATCAATCTAAATTGAGTCATGGGTCTTATGTTCTCCAGATATACAGAAACCATACATCCATTTATATTCTTCAAATATATTACTTGAAATAAAGACACATAAAATGAAGTTATATTTATCTAAGTCTTTCTAATAGCTATGTAATTTATAACATTTTTATATTTAAAAATCATATTAAGTAAACAATGATTGCACTTGGGATATGAAATGCAGAGAAATATTGTATTTTTTGTTTATATTTCATTATCGGTTATTTCAAAAAAGTATATAACTTTTATAATGGAACTAATCAAGAAATGTATGTATTAAAAAACCAATTAGTAAAGACAATTTAGTTTTAATATATTAAAGCCAAATGATGACAACTATATAAATCGTTGTACGATTGATATTTTGTGACATTTTGTGATCAATTTCTTCATCAGTACGCAAATTTGAGAACAAATGTAATAAATCATTCTATTCCAAATCCATACAGTCATTTTTCAAGAAAAATAAGAGAAATAACCTAAATTGTGGAATATAATGTTGATGATGAATATGATGAGTCACACCCTTATATTAAGGCCATTGCAGATGTATCTTTAGACCATATATGAAACAAAGTTTAAAGATAAATATTGTTTCATTATAAATAACTTTGTTTTATAGTAAGTTTGACACATGGTTTATTCCTAGTATTAATTCAGGCATACGTTTATAATATAATGTGTATGTTTGTAATACTTTATTGTACAATAACATTATAAATAAAAGGACATAATTGTACTTATATAATAAATGGGTACAATGGCAGACTTATCCCAAAAGAGGGATTTCTTCCAGTCCAGTGGTAAAGATAGGTACAATAAATAATGTGTCAATGAAATACATATAATGATATATGCAAACATATATAAATTAATATAGTGTAAATAATAAGAATAAATTTAATGGTATGTCTTTAATTTTAAGGTGCATATATTCTGTAATAAACTAAATCAACAATTTATGTTTATCAGGTTGGCTGAAGAAAAGAAAGAAAGTGGCAATCATTTATATAAATTCAAAAATTACAAAGGTGCACTTGTTATGTATGATGAGGCAATAAACCTATGTCCTGATAATGCTGCTTACTATGGAAATAGATCTGCTTGTTATATGATGCTGGGCATGTATAAGAAAGCTTTAGATGATGCTCAGAAGGCTGTTTCTTTGGACCCTACATTCACAAAAGGCTACATTCGTATAGCAAAATGTTGCATTGCTTTAGGTATGATATTATAATATTTCTTCCACAAAGAACTTACTTTAAACATAAAAATATGATACCAACATAGGAGTAGATTCTTTTGAATAAAAAATAATTACCAAAAACACTATTGATGAGTACTATGTAACCCCATACACCTACAGTGATATTGCACAGTAGTATTAAATAGATATGGTATTGAAACATTTTGCAACAAATGATTGAGTAAACATTAATATTATTATGTATATTATCACATAATAATATAGTGAATAAAACAAAGGGAGAATTAATTGTGTCCATCCATTATTCTATAATTTTACTTGTTATAATGTTAAGGTTGTTTTCATAGCCATTTATGTGTGCAGTACTACAATTGGATTTAACGAGTAAAATATTATTGCATAATAAACATTTACATAAATGTTATTGGAGGTGTGGGGTGCCTAACATCATTATCATCTATTTTTTCTTTATCCCATTCATTTGGGGTCAACATAAATATTTTTCTCTTCCATTCATCCCAGTTCACAGTCATCTCATCATTACTCCCTTTCTTGCCATATTATTTTTTCATCACTTTTTCAGCCTTCCTTTGCCCTTATATCCATACCAACGGCTCATATATAATACTTTCTTTAAAATATTCAACTTCTCCAACACTACATTCATAATTCCACTAATATATTAATTTGTTATCTTGTCCATTCTTTTCACACCACATATTCATCGAAACATATAATATCATTCACATTACAGCTGCAGCAGTAATCTTTCATCCTTTTTATTATATCTGTCAACTTTTATTACAAAAAAAAAATTAAAACCTTTAGCAAGGTCTATTCTTCTTTACAAAATTGTCGATTATCATAACAATTTAATCTGTTACATTGCAACATTACTATTAGTGGTATAAATAAAAAAACTCCCTTGTATATAGAGTTGTCTTTTTCTGTGGTTACAGATTCATCACAATTTTTACATTTGTCAGATGTCAGATGTGTACCTCTTTCGTTCATCCTCTTTATGTCCCAATATTCAATTACATACAAAAGAACAATATAAATATGTAGTAAACCTGTACAGTTTTAGTTTTAGGGGCCATATATTAAATGTTTGGGAGTGATAAATTAAAACCATGTCCTCATTTCCATGACCTGTCGCCATTTCATCATACAGATGTAATAAAATAATTCACCTTACTAAACAGTGTAATGCCTAGAAAGTATAAAATTTTTTTTATATTATTCCTATTTAAAGGTGATATGTCTAGTGGGGAGCAGGCTGTCAATAAAGCAAAAGAATTAGGTGGGGCAGAATGCGCAACCAGTGAACGACGTGCCTTAGAGTCCCTAAGGAGATTACATGAAGATGCTCAACGCGCAATGGAGGCTCGTGATTATCGCCGCGTAGTGTTCTGCATGGACCGTTGCCTTGACTATAGCCCTTCATGTGCCAAGTAAGTAGTAAACAGACTATTCTTACGAAGTGTTGGTTAATAACTACGGGTATTAATAAATGTATGTAATATTTATTTTACTTATTTATTTAAGTATATATATCTATCACAATTCCACTTATTAAAATACACAACTGGCACGTTCCGCTGTCGTTACCAGAATGCTGTGGCTCACAAAATTTCCCTCCTTTTATACCAAGAAGCGTGGGGTTGTTATCACAACTAATTCAGTAATAATCAAAGTACCTCCTTTTAATGTTTTAAATTATCTATTTTTTTGCCAATAATGACTTGAACCCTAACAGAAGTATATAATGATTTTGTAATTCAATACTAGCATTTGTAAATTAATATTATAAAATAATTAACTTGTTATCCTGAAAAAAAAATTAATATTTATGGTTTCATTTATATTCCACTTCTAGCTAATATCACATGTTTTAAATGTTCACAATTTTTTAATTCATAAATTAATGTCACTCATCATAGATTCTAATATAACGTATTTATGTAAAATATAATTATTTATTTATTTAATTCAGGCTACATGGCCCATATTATAAATACCTTATAGACTAACATACATAAGAAATAATAATAAAATATGTAAATAAAATTGTCTCTATGATCACGGCACTGACAACGGCAATCTGCCACGGTAGCGCCGATAGACCACCCCCTTCGGCCAGTAGTCCTCCTTCATGAAGGTGGGCAGCATGTTGGTGGGGACCAGGGCCAGGAACGCTTTGAAGCTCGCGTTGTGGTTCGATTCCAACTGCGTCACCCTCAATGTTAGGTTGTTTTTAGTCCGGATGTAGTCAACAATGTCCTGTTCCTTGGTAGCGTAGTGTTATGCTAGCAGCCAACTTAACTTCGTATGTGGATTATATTAATATATATATGTACTTATGATATATATACCTATAAATTAAACTAAGAAAACGGCAAGAAAGAAGAAAACAGCTAATATATTTTATATTACTTAGGTATTGATATAAAAGTTAACCTAAAACCAAAATTTAAATAAATGCTGAAATTATGATGACATTTCATTTCTTAAGGTCTTTAACAGTGGTGGATAAGGATCAGGTATCTGTCATGTAGATTTGACATACAGAGATATTATTTATTATAGCATTAACGCAAGGAGACAGTCATCGTCTATTGTTAGGATTTTATAGTGTATCTGTACATAAAGTACTATGATTTATGATATTGTTTCAGGGCGAAGCTCACGAAAGCCGAATGTTTGGCAATGCTTGGGCGTTGTCAGGAAGCTCAAGAAATTGCTAACGATTCTTTACGGTTTGATAGTTTAGATGCCGAAGCTATATATGTACGAGGATTGTGCCTTTATTTTGAGGTAAACATTTTTTTATTATGATAAATATGAGTGATATTTTCCCCTTACATTAATTAATGATTAAGAAACTAAACATAATTTTAGGCACATTCCAATGTGTGTGCATAAAATAATAGTTTATACCTAAATTATTTCATAGGTTCTGAATTAAAACGGTGAATCAGATTTCTTATTATCTACTTTATGTACACATCTATCAGTTCTTACATGCGTCCTTATTTATAGACCACGAGCCAGAGTCATTTATAGTCAATTATTTCCTCCTTGGTATCTGTTGAAATTTTCTAAGATGGTTAGGAAAGTTGTATTTATTATGAAGCCTAGTGCAAATCGGCTCCCAGGTTACGGTAGCCAGGGTTGAGGAGAAGCAGTCGCAAACATGTCTAAAATTCAATGATCTCCATCTTCAAATTGCTTCATAGTGAAACATTGAAGATAACAAATAGTCAGCTGGCTGTAACGTGGTTGATGGTATTTGGCTGAAGATATTTAATTACAATCCATGCCTTTATGTAGCATACTCTAATTTTCATCAAACAGCAATTAAAGTCACCTGGTGTATAACTGTATGCCAAACAAGACTACGACCACTCAATGGTAGAAGCAAGGTATTGCTTCTTGATTTTTTTAGTTTATAATAAAAAATAATTGAATATGAACTCATGAGATACTTATGTATTTGCTACTAGGAGAATACCACCTGCGCGCCTTCGCACCTTCTAGACGTATAACGGTAATTACCAAATTTTCTGATGTCTGGCTTGAGGTATTAGATAACTCCAGTAGCAGTTTCTGTGAGTTAATTGTACAAATTCTACTTTGCAGAGAAGGCATAAATGTTCAACGAAGTAAAAATATTTACTGTTATGTGAAAGTGAATTTGTTTATATGTTTGTTACCTGTTGATACCCTCAAAAATTAAGACAATATAGAATGAGACATTTTATCTCTATTAAGCAATGTGTCCCAATCGCACACAAGCGATATTACAGACAATAACTCGTGTTACATTACTTAAATGAATAACGTTTGTTACTTTTAATTTATTTTAGGATAAGGATGAGCAAGCTTTTAAACACTTCCAACAAGTTTTGCGGCTTGCTCCAGATCACAAAAAAGCTATTGAAACATATAAAAGAGCTAAATTACTGAAACAAAAGAAAGAAGAAGGTAAAAATGATCCAAATATTAAAATGTTTTAATTGTATATGTTACTAGATGGGTATTTTCATTCTCCATCGATTTTATTGTTTGCACAATAAGCTATCACACCTACTAGACCAACTTTGTCAACATTACAACACGTACAGATAACGTAATTCCTAAACTAACTGCGGAATATTTCTATTTGTGCCGAGTAAGTTGGGTAGAGATATGATGACATTACTGGGCATTGTTAACCAGAATTTTTCTGTAAGCGTCGGCAAGACACTGATGCCTCCGCTGATGTAAGCGTTCATGAGGTGGCTTGCCATCATACAAACCCTTTTCCTTTATTGACACACTCATGGTATAAAAATAATAAGCGTTAGGTATATTTATTATAAACTAGCTGTTGGCCGCGGGTGGCCGGCCCGCGTGGAATCTAACTTTATTTCTCTAAAATAAAAGTAGCCTAAGTTACTCCTTATAACATCAGCTACCTAACAATAAAAGTCCCGTCAAAATCGGTCCATCCATTTCAGAGATTAGCCGGAACAAACAGACAGACAGACAGAAATTGTAAAAAATATATTTTGGTGCATATACCGTATTTATATTCATATGCATGTAGTAAAGAACGGTTATTTTAATATTACTGTAAACTATACAAGTACAGTCCGAATAATATACTTACATATCTTTGGCAATTTATTATTATTTATATTTATAATAGATTACTAAAATTTAAAGAAGTAACCACATCATTAATGTTCCCTACAGGTAATGAAGCTTTTAAAATGGGACGTTGGCCACAAGCCCTTTCTCGTTACAACGAAGCGTTGAATATAGACAAAAACAATAAAGCAGTCAATGCTAAGTTGTACTTTAATAAGGCAACGGTATGTGCTAAACTTAATCAAACAATAGAAGCCGCTAAAGCGTGCACAGCAGCGCTAGAACTCGACGAGAATTATGTAAAGGCGTTGCTTCGTCGCGCAAAATGCCACACTGAACTTGGCAATTATCAGGATGCAGTGAAGGACTATGAAAGACTATACAAAATAGACAAAAGCAAAGAAAATAAGCAGATGCTGCATGAAGCCAAAATTGCGCTCAAAAGATCTGAACGAAAGGATTACTATAAAATTCTAGGAGTGGCGAAAACTGCGTCCGTAGACGATATTAAAAAAGCTTACAGGTAAAGTATTTGTTTATTGACCCATACTTCATGGTGGCACCAAATCGACTATGACAGGCATTCTCTACCAGTCAACCTTTCGGGAAATGCAGAGATATTTGACAGTGGCTTAACATTGATTATATTATAAATTACATATATGCATATATTAGACTAAAGTAAAACTAAATTAGAATAGAATATACATTATTATTGTAATATATATATATATATATATATATAAATATACAATATACATAATATATATGCAGATAAATTTAATATGATGAATACATTACTTAAAAGATGAGCATGAAATTTTTAAAGTATATTTAGTTTGATTGTGTTCAGGGAGTGAATTCCAAAGCCTTGAAGATTGTAGACCAAAACATTCAGATACAAAATAAATTTTATGAAAGGAAGTTAGAGGAAAAAGAGATTCCTTAGAGCGTTGTTAGTAGTCATGAGAGTCATCATAGTGAGGGTTGGGTTGGTTGGATTTATGTGCAGGAAGCGCGCCCTGGTGCACCACCCGGACCGGCACGCGGGCGCTCCGGACACTGAGAGGCGCGAGCAGGAGCGCCGCTTCAAGGAGGTGGGCGAGGCGTATGGCGTGCTCAGCGACCCCAAGAAGCGCGCGCGCTACGACCACGGACAGGACCTGGGCGAAGACGGCGGAGACATGGCTGGTATGTGCATATCTTTGACAGCCTGTTTGTTGCACAATCGTTATCTCACCTCACCACTGTAACGTTAATATATAATGTGATGAGGTGAGGATACGTAATTTTATTGCTTACTGTAGTATCTAGGTAGTGAGTATATAGGCGGAGTGATTGTACTACTAATTGCACATTAGTAAGTTTGTTTAGTCTCTATGGTAAATCTAAGAAATATTACAAGTGTAGGCACATATTGTATACACAAACGGCGACTCGATTGTGTAGCTCAGTCTGTGATGATTCTACTCTGTATATTAAATTTGTCAGTTTTTAATTTTATTTCACACCATTTACAACTTGTGCTATCAATATTACTAGGAACTTGTATGTATATATTGGTATCGCAAAAGGCGTATAAAATTTCTAAAAAAGATATATACTAAATTTGAAAATGGAACGTGGAACTGCAATATAATTTTATTTCTTTTTATAAAATTATACACATTCCTCTCGAATATTCCACGGCGTTAACGATAAAGACATAAAACATGTAATACTCGTCCACCAAATAGTATCCACCATATACCATAATATTTCGTAGTGTTGTGTTAGTGAAAGGTAGGTTTCAAAATGCAAATCTACAATTTACTGTAATGTGCTGCCTGTTACTTTATTTCTACTTACAAAATATTCAAATGAATAGGGTCCAAACAGTAACTATTAGTAGATTTATATATAGCCTCGCACAATCATACATAAGTTTGAAATTATAACGCGGCTGTCCTGGAATATATTGCGTAGTATTAATGTGTACTAGGAATTCAGTTTATGATAACAAAATATTTTTTTTTTGCAGATATCGACCCGAATGTGGTATTCCAGTCATTTTTCAATCCCAGTAGACAAAACTTTAATTTCTCTTCAGCTGGTGCATTCCCGGCTTCTGGATATTCCTTTCAATTCGGTTAAGTACATGATTATGTAATTATTATATTATATATTATGTAATATAATATGATAACGATCAATAGTAACAAAACATTCTTAATTCAAGAATCGACATTTTATACAAAATTTAAAATTTATTTACGCAATAAGTAACTTGGACAAATTGTATAATAGACTTTAATGAGTCTTTTCTTCATTCCATCGCGAATTTGATACCATATTTTTTTTTATAAAGTTCCCGCATCACTTGGTTGAAATCATTCCTTATTCTTTGTATAAAATTAATTATTAGGTATTCCAAATATAATTAATATTATTTAGATAAGCAGTGATTTCTGTGCAAGATATCATATATAATAAATGTTTACTCTGTTTTATCATTACAAAACTTAGTAATAATTATAACGTTGACTGATTTAGTTAAGTAACATTTTCCCTATCCTTTCACTCTGTGTGTTGTGTGAACGGTTTTGTTGATATATAATGGAAGGGAAGATAATTCGATGGGTTCATTTATAAATTATTATTTTAATTTAGGTCCAGAATACCTACTTAAAATGATAACCGATTCTTTATTGGATCAATTGTATAGTCAACTTATTTTCGAACTATCTTGTTCTATTAATGCAAATTACTCTATTATGGAAATGGCCTTCTGTTGCCATTTTTATAATCAAGTGTTCTGTACTTCACCTATTAACATGTACAACCAGCATACCATAAATGTGTTGGAATATTAACATGATGTAAAATAAAACTTAATATTGTAATTACATTTTGTTTGATTGAAATACACATGTGGATTAAAAAGTTTTATATTTTATAAAACTTTTTTTTTTGCGTACAACAAAGTTACAACGCAGATTCAAAAAAAAATATTTGCCATAGTATACTTTATGTTATGTTATTTTGTTAAATTTGCTACCTTTCAGACATGCTGTTCCATTCCATCTACTGTGCCTATTAAAAACATTTTTATTAAAGCAGTAGAAAATGTGAAATGTAATTCAAGTATACACTAAAGTACGTGGAGTGTAGAACTCTACAATTAGGAACACTATGTCGTCAATTCCTTTATACAATCCATTCTTGTAACCGTTCCCGTAAAATATTTTTATGTAATAAGATCTGGCTTTTGCCCTTTAACACCGCTATTGAACGATCTTGATGTTGGTACTTAAATACAACTGACGAGACTTCTTAATAAAAGCTAATTTTTGCTTTTCTATCTATAATATATAAATAGTACCTACCTAATCAAAATCATTCAATTTTAAATAACTTAGATCTGTTATAATTCGCATACCAATAAAATAATTAGGTGCAGTCAAATGGGCATTTTATTTCTTCTAAGATTCCGTCGGTCTACCATCTTTCTTCTCCCGTGATGTTTTGAAAACTATTGTACTAAAAATAATCCATGCACTCTTATACTTATCATTGATGTCTTATAAAAAAGAGTGCTATATATTTGTATAGTGACATTTTTTTAGTAATGCATGCGTGAGGGTGGCGTGGGATTACGTAACTGAAAAAGATTATTACTTGTTGTTCCTACACAACAATTTATTTACTATCATGAATTCTGACTCTGAAATGTGATACCTCTTGAAAGTCGCTAACTTAGGCCGTATTTTTATGCTAGGTTCTTCGGGGATCATCAGAATATTCCAACTAACAATAAGATATAAAAAAGTTGGGTATAATTTAAGAGCAAGCTTTAACGTAAAAGATCCGTTGGTTGTGTCAGAGTCGGACTTTGATACAGCTATTTATATTCTGTATTTCTTTTATCTGTTTTAAATATTATTAGTAGCACAAGGTTTTATATTGAAATGAAAAAAATAACAACACTTTAATGATGCATGACTTAATAATTAAAAGGAATCTTTGGTCTATTTATTATTTTATACAGGTTTATTTCGATAAAAGCTTGCGAATACTAGAAATATAATATGGTTTCTTTAATAAAAATGCTCGTTATACACTCTGCAATTGGTTTTTGGTTGGATCAACAAAAAGTACTTTAGTTTACCACGAGACACGACATACAAAATAGTCTACACATAGTAACCTGCAACTCACCTAAGTCTACCGCCAGCCGTGTATTTGTTTTATATTTAAGATTACTGTGAAATTATGAAGATAAGGACACAAGAAGAATAGGAATTGTATACTATTTATGGGATGGGATGGCAAATGATAAGGGAGCCCCTATGACCATAGTAATAAAGCACTATTTTGTTAGAATAGACAAAGAACGTACAACATTTTAACTTTATTTTTATTTCTTTACATTGATATAATGAACAGATATATAATTTAAACCACACTAAATATATGGGGATGCCCTACCTTCAAAATTTTAATTTGAATTAGAATTTATTAAAAAAAATAACAAAACCGAACAAATTGACCATAGTCGGTAAGCATTTCTAAGGACTGATTATCAGGCGAGAGTAGTGTAATTTTCGGTTATCGTTTGGTATACCACGAGGCATAATGTTACGTTTACATTCAACCGCTTCCCCTACCACTCGCGCTGCCGGAAACATTGCTGCGTCAGCATCGACGGGACGCGAGAGGGTGTCTTTACACTCAGCCTGCATACTTATTTACCGGGCGACTCTTCCTTACTTTCCGCTTAAAACGTCGGGCGACAACTGAGCGAGAGGGCTGAATGTAAACACACGCTGCCAGTCCTTTGACTCACGCACGAAAAATGGACTGAGCGCCGGGCAGCGCCAATGGAATGGGAATATCGTGTTTACACTCTCGCGTTGCTCACGTGAGTGCTTAAACCTCAGGAATGATACTACATCATCAGGCAAACAAAAGGTATCAACAGCGCGCAAACCGCCAAATACGCAGAAACTGTACACAATATAAAGAAATATAACATACAAAGTTTAAAAAAAAAGTCCCTTAAAAATTCCATTTCTTAAATAAATGTTGGGATAAAAAAATATGTTAATTCGTCATTTTTGAAGCTAGAAGCTTGAAACTTATTTTTGAGGCTGTTGATTAAATATAAATAAATGAAATCCAAAATTTGGAAGAAAAAATCTCTTAGGGGGCTAAAATATATTAGAGGGGATACAAGTTTTTATATATTTTCATTCTTCTTAAATTAATCATCAAGTAGTAAAAGTTTTTATGTAAATTCGTCATTTTTGAAGTTAGAACAACGAAACTTTTTTCTTTGGCTTTTTGGGTCAGTTTATTAAATACCTTACTAATATCACAGATAACATAATATTACATACAGATACCCCATCCCATACAAGAAAATGGTTCCTTCCTAACTCGGGCTATTCTTCGGGCTATTTTATTTCGCCACCGTAGCCGCTAGATGTCGCTAGATCTGAAGCAGTTCGGATTACTAGTGGGTGCTTAGTAACAAAGCATGAAAATAGATGGCAGTCAATTCAGTCTACATGACATCTGTTTTGCAAAGATATGTATATAATAGATATGTAGGTAACTGTATCGTGTACCTCATTAGGGACGATTCAAGATTCAATGTAAATGTGTAGGTATAATATCGTTAGCAGACACTCTGCAGATATGGCTTATGTGCCAATGTATATACCTATTATGTTATGGTTTATTTTACATTCCATGCCTATTTTTTTGATATGTTGTAACGCGTCTGCGCTATACATATAGCCCGATTTTGATACGTTTATACTGTTCATGTATCAAAATCTTTTTTTTATTTCAATCGTTATATGTATGAGACTGATTTTAGCTACAATTAATTTACTGGTATATACCTCATGTATTCTACGATGTACCCCTCTTTTACCTAATGAGAATTCCGCTATATCTTATATATAAATTTTGTATCACAGTGTTAGTTGCCATATTTCTCCCACATTTTGATGAAATTTGATATGTATACTTGCCAGGTCTGAGGTAGGGTTGTTATCTATTTTTTATACCCCTAAGTCATAGGGGTGGCCTACCCCGAAAAAATATTTTTTTGTATTATGGACAATTTTTTATTTATTTATAATGTTACATTGAAAATACATACACGCCTAAATTTTCACCCGTCTTTCACCAACCCCTATTTTTAATAGCGATATTCTTACAAATATTATAAATGCTAAAGTAACTCAGTCTGTCTGTTTGTCTCGCTTTCACGCCAAAACTACTGAACTGATTTAATTGAAATTTGGTAGACAGATAATGTAGACCCTGAGAAAGGCTACTTTTTAATGCGAAAAAGTATTGAAAGGGGAAATGAAAGGCTATATGAGGATATCGTAATTTTTAAAGTCAGATCTTGTAAGATTAAGTGAACAGGGTCGGTCTAGGTTTTTCATTATTAGAAATGTGTAACGGGGTAACACGTTATTTAGTGCGAAATTGTGTATATTACAATAAAATTTAACGAGAAAATATTATAATGATGTCACTGGGACACTCATTGCCTTACTACTATATCGTCCGTTAGTCGCGAACTTTCTGGAAACACGAGAGGCGCGCTCCTATTGGTTAGTAGATGAGGTAGACGAGTCTCACGGCGCCGCAGCGTAAGTACTTACTATACATACGTAGTATACATATGGGTGTTACAAATGTTTTTATTACGAGTAATATTACTCTGTTATCTAAGCAAGTAATGTGTGCTTATTTTGAACTTGATAACATTCTGAATTACTCGTATATCTTTCAATATCTTTAGCGGTATAAACCAGGTTATGTACTACTACTAGTATTGTTAGTGAGGGATAAAGTTGATGAACAAAAATAAAACAATATTCGTATTAAAAATATATTCATCTAATATTTTTGGCATTATTTTTAAGTTTCTTCCAAATACAAGGGGTCTGACATGGGGTGTTATGTACCTACATTAAAAGATAATTTTTGAAATGTATGAAAGAAATGTATTGTATGAAATTTTTGAAATGTATGAAATGTAAGGACCTGAAAGAAATGTATGTACCTACATAAAAAGTTCATTTTAGAAATGTATGTGTATGTACCTACATTAGAAGATAATTTTTGACATGTATGAAACGTATGTACCTACATTAAAAGATAATTTTTGACATGTATGAAATGTATGAAAGAAATGTATGTACCTACATTAAAATATAATTTTTGAAATGTATGAGATGTATGAAAGAAATGTATGTACCTACATAAAAATTCATTTTTGAAATGTATGAAATGTATGAAAGAAATGTATGTATGTACCTACATTAGAAGATAATTTTTGACATGTATGAAATGTATGTACCTACATTAAAATATAATTTTTGAAATGTATGAGATGTATGAAAGATATGTATGTACCTACATAAAAAGTTCATTTTTGAAATGTATGAAATGTATGAAAGAAATGTATGTACCTACATTAAAAGATAATTTTTGACATGTATGAAATGTATGAAAGAAATGTATGTACCTACATTAAAAGATAATTTTTGAAATGTATGCACCGTACAATAACAATACACGTTAAACATAAACCACAGAGTCATACGCAAGTTAAAAACAAACTGCTATGATATTAATGAGAAAGGAAAATCAACTTTATGGTATTCGAGTTAGGGTCGATTTCTCTCTTTTTTTTAAATACTATTTTAATATTACCAGTTGCCAGTATTAGAAGACAGCAACGATTCGTACGCGATATTTTAAATTATTATGTAATCGATTTTTCAGTACAAATGTAAATAACCAACGACACTAATAATGTACTACTATATTCCGTTCTTTGAAACGGAACACTGCTATAATACAGAATAATGAAAATTTACTGTTCACAACGACTCATTAAAAGCATCATCGAATAATGTGCTGTAATAAAATCCTGTTATCGATTATTCAAAAAAATCGATAATACATGTATGTATTTTTAATATGACGACACTTCATACATAAGTATCATTGGAAATAGTATTACTTGCTTGTTCGGCTATTTTTAATTTACTTAAAAATTTTTTATATGTTTAATTTACAATAATAATATATTAAGTGCTTATTATTGGAAAATATAAAAAAGACATTTAATTAGGCCGATACAAATGACGACAATGCCATCTATGAAAGCATTTTGAAAACATTGAGCCCCATATTAGCACTGATTAAAGTGTAATTAAGTACTGGAAAATAACAAAATGAGTAAATATATGAAAATTACTTTTCTAAACGCATTATTTCATTTTAACATGTATATATAACTTTTTAAAAATTGATTAAACATTTTTGAAAACACAGTTTTGTTTTTTAAAACGTTTGCAAAACTATGAAGAATTCTATCGATACCAATCACTTTTTTAACATTAAAGGGGGATAAACTACTGGATGAAAGTTTTCATGGAAATTCATTATTTTTATGCTTCATGTTGAAACTTTTTTCATTGGTATTTTTGGGTTAGTTTATTAAATACCCCACTAATATTATAACTGTCTATCTCGCTTACACGTCAAAACTACTGAACCGATTTAAATGAAATTTGTAACCCATAAGCTTAGACCCCGCGAATGGATATAGGTAACTTTTTAATGTGAAAAAGGGATGTACGGATAGGTGCATAAGGTGGTAAGGTTGTATGGATATAACGCCATTTTCAAAGCTTTAAGCCTGAAACTGATTTTTTAGACTGTTGATTAAATTTAAATAAAGAAATATGGGTTGCAAGGGATTTAAAGGAAAAGGATTTAGAGCTTGAATTTTAATTTTTAGCCTATTAAGATAAAGATAAGGGGTTGAAAGAGATATGAGAGATTGTATGGAAGTGTCATCATTTTCAAAGCTAGATGTTTGAAACTTATTTTTCAGGCTGTTGATTGAATTGTTTGGAATTCTGTACTTTTAAAGCTAAAACGATGAAACTTTTGGCTTTTATTGGATTAGGTCACTATTTTATGCGGACGAAGTCGCGGGTACAGCTATTTATATCATATATTTAGAATTAATAAGGTATTGTTTGTTGAGAACCTTCGGATATTTAAGTCTAATTTGCACTTTTTAGTTACATTTCTAAATTCAAATTCGTCTCAATCATAGATTCATAAGTAGGTACTTAAATACACGAGTACACCATAGTTCAATGTAGACACTTTTGTATTGTCATTTACAACTATCAAATTTGTTCTTACTCAAAAATAGTTTGGGTTCTTATATATTTTAAAATTTACAATACTTCAGTCTATAATTGTTTATTGAAATGGGTCGAATGGGTGTAATAAAATGGGAAAAAGCTACGCAGTGTCGTCCTATACACAATATTATATCTTCCGATTTTCCCCGTTATAATCCCCAACCTTGGAAATTCATGGTATTATTATTACTTTTATTAACAGCTGCTGATACTATAGATTTAACAGAAGCTAATAAATGGTAGTTATAAAATTATCGAGTTCATATTAGTGATGGGTGAAATTACGACCAAGGCAGGTATATACATACAGTCTTCATAGGTAGGTCAACTTTGTAATCCAGAATGGCAACGCATGTTACCCACTTGATATATCACGAGCGTGACAAGATTATGATCAATATTTGTGGTGTTGTTTATTTAGGTATATTATGTATCTACATACTATCTTGACGGGTACCACTTTCTATCAGATGGGCTTTATCCCGTAGGTTTGTTTGCCATTCTAGTAGCGTAAAAAGAAACATTCTTGATATTTAATATTGAATCCAGAACATACAGGGAATATAAAAATTATGTATCAAACGATGCGATAAGCTGACCCTGGGAACGTTCATTAAGTGCTTTATGTATGTAGATAGGTTTTTTCAAACTGTTAGTTTTTACTATTTATAGACGTTTGTCGTTATTAATTATATATAGGAAGGCAATTCTCGAATCGAGTGGTTATTATCATATGAGTATCAAAGAATGTGGACTGAGGAGAGAGAAGTGTGGAAAAAGCGAATGTATCCTGAAAATACCACAGTCAATGTTGATGTAGTAAAGCGCTACGTATTAACTTTTAAAACCAATCATCAATCACCCAATCTGGAAAAAAAGGAACCTTTTAAAATGAAAAAGTAAGCTATGTCCTCTATGTATATTTTTTTCGTTACAATCTAGATACGCGGTAGCGTGTCAAGCCGAGTTTCAAGTAACTGGCGAGCAGCACCGTGTGTATAAAAATTACCCAAGACAATTCACACCATCCGAGTCCAAACTAAACAGAAGTATGGTTACTAAATAACTGATAAAATACTTATATAATAGAAAACAACCAAATGAATATAAAGAACCATACCTATGAATAAATACAAATGTTTCTATTGTCCGAGAATCGATGCAGACAAATATTGTTATACTGATAACCATTTGACTTTTAAACAGAGCAGGCTAGCCCTCACTCTGCCATACTACGCACGCTACTTTGTCTTATTATTCTGTAATATGAAAAATAATGCTTTAGTAATATTGTGATTGTCTAGTCCCTAAGTTTATTAAGAGATTCATTATATCCTAATGTTTTCAGATTTCAAGAAGTAGGAAGTAAAACAGATAATAAACGGCTGCCAAATGATAAAGCAATGATATATGAAAAGGAAAAAGCATAAACAAAATAAACATACAAATAGGCTTGCTTCGTCTATTATAAAATAACAATTTTCTACTACTAATATAGAAATAAAACTTTTTACTTTTGAAAAATTTTAATCTCCAGGTGTAGTTAGTTCTACTTGACGACTTCAAAAGCATTATAGGATAAGCTATGATTGATTATACGTTTTGCAAGGCAGTGTAGGACCATCGAATTTGTCGGATATAGTCCGGAATTTTTTATAAAAGAGTATCTTGTAATCCGACAAATTGCAGATCCAGTGATAAGATTCTACGTTATATATGTATGAATGTATATGCACTCTTGAAGTATATTGTCAAAAAAATATTCAATAATAAATAATAGACCATGTCGGATTACCGCGGGTTCACTGTATTATGACCAAACAACATTTTGTCAATTTATACTATTAAAAATATTAATAGTTTGCAATCCGCGACTATAGAAAGTAAAGCGCTATGCTATACTGCCAGACTACCGAGGCAGTCATATTCAATGAAGTAGATAATATGTAGATTAGATTTAATTGCCAGAATGCAGATTCTGTAATACGAATTCGCACCAATCCATCGAATCATGCGTCAGACAAGTTTGTCGACTCCTTTTTGACAGAAACCGCTTTCTGAAAATTGAATCACGAAATTATTATAGTAAAAAAACTGACATTATTTTGTATTATGCACTAAGATGAACGGCCACCGTGTGAAATTAATGCAGTTTATTACTAATCAATCATCCTCTAAGCAATTTTGCTGAATTTCAGATTATATAGCTACTATTCACCCTAATATTATATATGTCTCAGGACAAATTAAACAAATTATAAGATTTTTATATTTTTTTTATTTTGCACAAGCAGTAGTAAGAGATATTAATCGTATTACGCCCACAATGTACCTAAAACGAAAAAAAACATTATTAAAAGATGTTTATAAACAGTATCAGGATTAAAAAAATAACACAAAAACATATGCTAAATACTAGCACTTAATATAATAGATATAAAATGTTCGCCATTTAATAGTCCTTTTGATATTATAATATCATAAGGGTGGAGATGGCCATTTATTATTCCCTCCAATTCTTTACGTTAATTCTCATAATGAGAAGACGACTGCCTCAGAGGGTAAAAAATATTTCTAGATTATTGTATCCCATAGGTACCTAAAAATGCAATTCTGATATTCATAACTAAAAAAAGGTAACAACTAATCAAATTAGAGTAAAATATTTCACAGAATATTCATTAATACCTTTTTGAATGATGAACTTATTCAGATTTTTTATAAGACTTTATGAAGGAAAGCAGTTTTGTTCTCATCCAGTAAATTCCGGTTAATTAGGCTAATAAATACAACTGTATTATTCATTAATTACATGATCAACATTTATTATTTATGTATTATATTCTATAATATATACCAAATTCACAGACCGTTAATAGACTTTAAATAGCTTTCTACACCTAATAATAATTGAATTGATAACAAGATATTTAAGAATTTATATGCTACACACATAAATCTAGGTCCAAGAAAAAATACATAAAAATAAATGTAATGGTAACTCAAATTATTAAGTTCATCCTGCTGTCCACAGATAAAATAAAGAATATTATATTTCATATAATGTTGTATATTGAACAGGAATAATATACAAATTTCATAAAAGTCGTCCTAGTGCTAAGGCTCTTAATATGTAGAGATATTCCACAACATCAGTAAAAATCAGTGTCTACATTAGACATGTGTTGATAACCAAAAATTTGTGATTGTATAACTTTATTAACATGGATCCTCTTAATATAAGATTTAATGGCAAAGATTAAATCAGTTTTGAATACCCAATCAACCTGGAATGGTCTGTGGTTACTGCAGCACAAACTATACCTACTTAGTATGTTCACTATATTTAATTCATAAGCTTCAGTATCTAGTCATTTCATATCTGGCAGATTTAAATCGATAACCATTAATGTTTAAATAAATTATTTTTAATAATAAATCGTAATATAAATAATAAATATACATGGCATCACAGTGAATTTGCTAAATATATTTCTATAACTACCAACATTCAGAAATGCAAATTCTTAATAGTATAAAATGAAGTTATTTCCCATGTCTGTTTGTTTAGATATTTTTAAATTATGCAATGGATTTGAATAGATAGCGATTCAAGAAGAAGGTTAACATAGGTACTCCCCAAACGAAAAGTACCAGAGTGGGTAGCCAGTATTGAAATAAGATGACAAAAATGACATTATGGCCAAATTTGTACACTGACCAAAACATCACAATTAGACTATAATGGCAATTTTAACACAGAATTTTCTAAAATTGATATTATCACATTTGCAAAATACTGATCTAGCAAAGAGACCAATCAAGGCAAGGTTTCACTTTCATGTCAGAATATATAATTTATGTATCTAAAACCAACCAAAATGTCTACAATATACATTTCGTAATATTAACATTTCCTTGAAGCTCTATTATTATTAACCTATTGCCATGTGAATGAGGGGAAAGAATTCAGTAATGTGGCCCTTCAAAAAATGAAGTGTAATAATTTCCACTAAGTGGTAGCTAGCTTGCTAGCAATGTACCAGTTAAACAACCACGCTGTTCCTTAGAAAACAATATGGTCATGGTTCATTAATTTGTAACAATTGTCTAAATAACCCGACTTCATCCTCGTCCTATTGTCGTTACCATTGGAAGGTGCATAATCAACAATTCCAAAAAAATTACCATGTGGACTAGTCGAATCTAAATAACCTTCATATAATTTTTTAGATTCGCTGACACATGCACCACCGACATGAAAGATAATGGTATACAATAATAGGACTTACAAAGCATGTATACATGATCGATGATTAACCTCAAAATTCTAAGTAAAATCAATATTTCAATGAATACGTACCATTTTATTTGGACCTTGCACGCATCTTCCTCCTTTTACGTTTTAGCCTCCGCATACGCTTCTTACGCCACTATAATAATAAAAATATAATTATAATAATTAAAACGTGATTGTAGTGACATGTCGAAATATAAGAATATAGTACTTAAATTAAAAATACCTTTGCTCTCATATCAAATTAATAAAACTTTTAGTGATAGTTATGAAAAATAACTGTTATATTCAATGATTGCAATATAAATTTAAGATTTCGATGTCATAGCGACAACACAATATGTCGACCCACTCGTAAAAGAATTATATAGAAAAAGGAAATATGTATGTTGGAGTGTGACCACATAAAAAATTGTAATTGTGCTAAATCGGTAACTAAATTGTGCTAAACTTCCAGTAAAATTTTAAAATAGAGTAGACAGTAGGTACTGTTCTGCGTGTATGCAAATAATTGTCAAAGAATTATTATAATCTAAATATGATTATACATTCTAACATATTAAAATACTTATGAAATTTTTCACTTTATTTTAGCCCTGTATTTTCTTAAAATTTAGCTGCTATGATGGCCACTAATATTCTGTAGGTGTTGTGTGTAGTAGCTTATAGGTAGAAGGAAATGCACCAGATGTAGCTGTTTACATACATATATTGTGTATGGACATGATAATTACAACAATTAAATTAACAGCAAGGAATTCGGTCCCTAAAAGGCAACGGTATTGGCGGGGGATGGAACTAAACTAAATTCACCGCTTACACTTTTCTTCTTTCTTTATTACTCATACACTCTGTCCATGACTTTCATAATAATATCAGTGTATTCGTTGTCCTCCTTATTGATGGAGTTCCCTACATTCTGTCTCTATGTATCTGGTATCGTTTTGTCTGTACGAGAATATTCCACTACGAATACGACATTAAAATATATAGTGAATTATATATATTAGTAAGAATATAACAGCACGTTTATACTGATATAATTTTAAGTAAGGCCTACAAATAAAAAATAGTCTAATTATTAATTTTTCTACTATATTATTACTACTAAATTTATTTCTTTTATTTTATTAACAAAACAATTTTTACAATAATCGTCACTCATTAGGAAATTCAACTATATAATGTGAATTAAATTACTGGTAGCCATGATGCGTAAATCTTTTAGGAAAATATTTATTCTCTGTTTTGTTATTATTTTATTTCAATTATATAGCGTAATTTATTCATGGTAAGCGTGACTCGCTTACGGTACATCTTTTCCCAAATCCTACGATCTACTTTTTCATGACTGCACCTTACTAATACTAAGTTAGTTGTTAACAGTTTTTCTCAAGATAAGAAAACTTGATAATGCAAAACCCTGAAAATTTGCTACTCTGTTAGATTAAAGTTATATTTTGACAGCTTTTGCTAACACTTTGTGTGGCTAAGTTATCTGTGCTGTAAATAAATATAGCTGTTCGCGCTTGATCTGTGTTCGCAGTTCGCGCCAAAATTGACATCTTTCCTATGCGGTTTTAGTATTCTAATATTCATTTGTTATTATTCCTATATTGATAACATAATTTAGTCTCAAAATAAGTGTGACGTATTTGCTATATAACACAATGTAAGTTGAAAATCGTTTCTTTTATACTAATAATCTAATAACTTTGTTTCTTCGTCGGTCAGTGGCAGTGTTACCAACATATTGATAATGAGTATACAATACACACATTTTACTTACATCAGTGTATTTACGGATCGTAATTTTGTTTAATCTTTGTTTTAATTATATCTTATTGATCAAAGAATGTTTTAACCAGTAAAATAAGTTGTATAAATCTGTCTCAAAGTGTTTTTTGTTAAAAATAGTATGGTGTTCTATTAAAATGTGGGAAAAATGCATCTGACATTTCGGACTCTTGTAACAGCTGCCTATTTCTATACATTTTAGTGACGCTGGATATGCTGTTTTAAAAATGGTTACCTCCATTAAGCTTCCTGATAAAAAAGTGGTAAAAATGACTGAGCAGAAAAACAATGGAGTAGTTCCTCAGAGAACTTTATTGGGAGAAGTAAATGAACATATAACTTGTCCATTATGCCATGGTTATTATATAGACGCAACCACCATTGTCGAGTGTTTGCATTCATTTTGCCGAAGTTGTATTATAAAGCACTTACAAGCAAAAAGTTACTGCCCAGTTTGTGAAATGATGATTAATTCTGCAAAACCAAATATTAAATTGGATAAAGCACTGCAAGATATAGTGTACAAGCTTGTGCCTGGTCTATTTCAAAAGGAAATGGATAGAAGACAGCAGTTTTATGCTTCCAGACCAGGACCAGCCGCATCTGCTACACCAGAGCAAAGGGGTGAAGACACAGAAAGAATTATATTTAGTCCAGAAGATGTGATTTCTTTTTCTTTAGAATATGCTGATGTGACAGATACAGATAGTATATCAAGCAAATCATCAGATAGTAATGAAGCCCAGAATATGGCAGCTGCAACAAGGCGATATTTGCAATGCCCTGCAGTTGTAAACATAAGTCATCTGAAAAAATTTCTCAGTAATAAGTTTGACATAGATAGTTCTCAATTTGCAATAGACATATTATACAAAAGAGTCCCATTACCAGATTACTATACTTTAATGGACATAGCATATATTTATAATTGGAAAAGAAATGAACCAATGCGTTTTTTCTATCAGATCAAGGACTATATTGCTATAAGAAACAGGTTATTTGATATTAATAGAAAGGAATCTCATTTTGGAGACCGTAAACCAAGTCCAGCTTCAACAGAAGATACAAATATTAGCAGTCCAGCGCTAAACTTAAATGCAAACGAACATGCTTCAGATGGTTCTTCCGGAACAAATAGTCCTATGCCAGATGTTAATAACTTAAAAACAGTTAGTGATACATCTATGAAAAACAATGATAATGTTGTTCTTCAATACAAAGATCTTACTAATGAAGATAATGCATGTTCTACACATATACAAGGCAATTCAGTTAAAAATAGTTGTGTATCTCCTAAGAAAACTGATGATGATGAAGAGAAATCCCAGTTTCTAAATTCCTTTGAGCTTACTGCAAAAAATACATATTTAAAGACTTCACCAGTTAAATCAAATAATACAGAAATTAGTGGTACAGATGAATCAAACCTTTCAAAAAAAATGTCTAGCTCTCCAAAAAATGAAGAAACTCTCAAAAGAAAATATCATATACCACCCAATGTACCAGAAATGAAGAAATTAAAAATTGAAATAGAAAAAACTAAACTTACTAATTCAAATATGAATGAATATTCCTCTCATGTCAGTTCTCTTACATCAGGAAATATGACTGGGAAAACACAGGAAATGTCTTTAAAAGTAAAACCAGATAGTTCATCTAAAACTGCTCCATCTTCAGCAAATATCTCTACACCTTTAGTGGGAGATAAAGAAGATAAAAAGGATGTTAGGCAGGGATCCTTAAATAAGCTACAACTTGTAGAGAATGCTAATGTAAAAAGAACCATTATTGGGCTAAGTAATGCACCTCTATCAACACCAAAGCGCAAAGCTCCAAATGATACACAATTACACATGTTACCTCCAGTACCATTACCAAAAACAGTTTCACCTCATAAAATTCATGTATCAAGAGCAGAATTACAACAACCAGTTAGTAAAACTATGGATGTACCTATACCTTCGACACACAAGAAGATGCCAGATCTAAAACCAAGTCCTAACTCAGTACAAACACTCCAAAATAAACAACCAATTAATAAAGTTAGAATGGATCTCTTGGCTAATAATAGTGATATTGACAGAAGTAAAATTATTTCACAATTGAAGTCACCTTGTCTTGGCCCACCTATTAGTACACAACCTTCAGGAGATTCTCTACGATCTTTATTTGATTCATGTAAAATTAATATACCTTCATCATTATCCATCACACTCACTGATCAGAAGTTAGATGCTCGAAATCCTAATGAACCTGTAAATGTGGAACAGAAGAAGAATGTTGTAAATAAAAACTTGTCTGGTGCTGGTAATGCTTTCGCACATAAAGTACCAAGTCCTCCAGTACATAACTATATAGAAATATTAAAATTACCAGACACTGATTCCAAAAAAATAAACAAACTTGAAACTAATTCTGAAATAAAATTAAACCCAGTCTCCAAAGTAGAGGCAAATACTACTCAATCTAAACCTATAAATAAGTCTTCAGAAACATCAGCAAAAGGGCCAATACCAAATTTGAAACCAATATCTGACACAAAAATAGGTAAACAGAGTAGTAATTTCTCTGGTCCTATCACATTTCAGCAAACATTTGAACAACAATTGCAGTCATTGCAGACTGATAAGAAATCTAAACTGCCTAAAAACAAGTCTCAAGTTCCAAAACTTGTACCTGCAACACCAAAAACCTTTAGTGCTGTTGGTAAACCAACCAACCTTAATAAGCCTAACAACAGTGGTATACCTGAAACCAAAACAAGCAGTGCTTTAGACTTGTCAACAACACATAATGTACAAACACAATTAGGGCCACAACAAACCTTGGACAAAGCTTTCGAAAGAATGCAATCAATTGCAAATTTAGCAAAGAAACAAAATTTACCGTCTAAGGGTTGGCCATTGACCATGTCTCAAGGCAATATATTTCCCGGACTATCGAGCAGGCCCCTATCTGCTGCAGTTAGTACTTTAAGAGTTCCTACAACTAGTAATGTCAATCAAATTAAACCTGATAAGTCAATGCCAAGTGCATCTCACTCTAATAATATAGGACAGGAAAGCACAAACAAGAACAATTTAACAAAATCCACAACCAGTGCCAGCTCAACTGTTTCATCACCTAATTATTCTGTTACATCCCACTCATCACCTACCACTCAACCTTCACCAAGACAAAATCGGTCTCCTAGTTCTTCTCCAAAGTTAGTTATAGCTGAGGAAAAACATAACTCTTCCTCTGAACAAAATATTACTCAATCAAATCAGATCCTGAATTTACAATTACCAAATATGAGTTTACCGAAGAATGATTCTTCCAAGATTCTACTAGGACCATCAAAGTCAGGTCTTAAGCCCTTTAAATCTGTAACACCCGGAAGTAAAGTATCCACAATTCGCCAACCCATACCACAAGCCAAATCAATGTTGAATACTTCTTCTGATTATCATGCTTTAATGAGACAGTATGAAATGCTCAAAGCCCAGAGACAATATGACATTATCTATAAAAACTCATTAAGTCAAAATGAATATAACCCTAAGGACAAACAATAATATAATAGTCTATTGCTGGATCATACACATATACAAGACATGGATGTAGATATAGGTTACTTTGTTTCATCAGAATGATAGAATAATTAAACAAAAATTAATGTACATAAGTTTTAGTGTGGTGATAGTTTTAAGCCTTAGCCTGTGTTTTGATAAAAAAAAGCATTGTCTAGTAAGTTTTATCAGAAAAATTTTATTAAGTATTCAATCATGTATGAATTTGTACTAAGTAATCTTAAAGTTTATGTTATTTCACTACATTTACTAAAAATTTTATGTAATAAGTATCAATTTATTTATTTTATATTTGATATATGCTTGTATTAAAATGTCCTCATATTACACCTGTAATTCGTGAATGTACTTTAGTCCTGGAGGCCACAATAATTTTATATATAATACAAATGTAGACGTAAATAACGTCATTATTATTAATTGTGTGTAGTAAATTCTTGTTTATTAATATCTTTGATTTTTATTAAAAATAATAATTAGTTTTAATTATCATTAATTAAAAATTATTGTGTATTTTATACTTGTGAAATTATGAAATCGAATCAATATACTTGTATTTATAAAATAAATTTATGATACATTTATTATGTCTATATCAATCTTAAATTTTTAAGAGATTTCCTTATTTTGTTTTAAGTAAGCTTTGTGAAGGTATGTATTAATAAGTTGGTAAATAAATTATACATTTTTAATGATAATTAAGGGACTTTTTGTTTTAGATGTCTGCTGTACAAGCTTCTATACCTTTTAAATTACGCAAAAGGGTAAATTTAGGAATAAAAAAATCCAATGTAGAAAATCTAGATATTCTGAATACAGAAGTAATTGAAGTAAACAAGTTGAAGAGATCTTTATTAGATAATAATTTAAAGAACAACAGCCCAGAAGGTATAGTTTCTATATGTCAAATTTTTTAAAAATCTTTTTCTTTTTAAGCTGTAATTTTTTTACTCCTTTAACACCCGATATGTCCGTTGGATATCGAGTAAACTCGGGTTAGTGTCTACAATCGAGTGTGTTCAACGTTTGAACTAGCATTTAAGGCTGCTGGTAAATAGCCAGATAGTTGTGAGGTTGCCTGAATGCGATTATTTTTCCCATTAGGTTGGGTTACGTCATGGTGCCCTCTTTGGAGATCGTCGGTGGAACTATCGTCGCATTCGGGCAACCTGACGACTAATCGCCGATATCAGCAGTCTAAAGCGTCTATGTTCGACATTTGATTTATGATAGTTGAACCGATATTGTTGTGCTTGTATGCGTGATCTGAACTTGATACGAGGTTACCTATGACTTACATTTTCTTAATAATGTAAATTGTAAACATAATAATGCTTAATATTAAATTTTAGATTATTGTATTCCAACAAAAGTGCCAAGACGAAAAAGAACCAGTAAATGTAATTATAACGTTGAGGATACAGAAAGTTCTGAAAGCAAGTAAGTAGTATGTCATGGTTCCTTCATATTATTAAAATATATAGATAAAAAATCGAGCATATCATGACGTAGACTAGTAGTAAATATGGGGTGGCAATGGGTAGGTACAAAATATTCCCTAAGATTATAAACTAAATGTTGCACGCACATTTGTTCATGTATGCCTATAAAAAATAGAGCATTCACATTTATTAATTAATTTTAATCCTGTTGTGAATTATAATACTTGAATTTTGTATTGGAAAATAACACCATAAGTTCTTTCATCAAATGCTTGTAAGACATTGTATAAACAATAATATGTTTTGTGACATGTATTTTATTTGGAGTTTATGTACTGTTTGTATGTTACAGTGTGGTTGAACATCAAAAACCATTGACGAGTCGGGAAAAAGAAATTCAGTGGTTGGACAACTTTTTGAATGAACATCTTCAGAGTGAGAAATCAGCTTCCCTATACGTGTCAGGGCAGCCGGGTACGGGCAAAACTGCCAGTTTATCTTACACATTGCATTTGGATAAGGTATTTAAGTCTTATATATCTCCTATACAAATAACTATTTTCCAGACTTATAAGACAAATATGATTGCTTTGTATTAATGTAAGTTTATATGGGAAGTTTTTACATGATGACATATTGATAGATAAAGAAGCTGTTGACGTTATCTTAATCTTATTATAATACTAGCTGTACCCACAACTTTGTCCCCGAGGAATTTAACTTTATTTTACTGAATAATACTTTATTAACTGATAAATGATTTTTTCTAAAATAAAAGTAGTCCAAGTTACTCCTTATTACATCACCTACCTGTCAAGAAAATCCAGGTTCAACCATTTCAGAGATTAAGCAGAACAAACATACAGACACAAAAATTGAAAAAAATGCTACTTTGGTGTATGTACCGTATATTCATATGCAAATAGTAAAAAACGGTTATTTCAATATTACAAACAGATACTCCAATTTTAATTATATGTATAGATTATAAACGTGAAAGTTTGTGAGTATGGATGGATGTTTGTTACTCTTTCGCGCAAAAACAACTGAACACAACTTTCCTTCAGAAAACACGGATTAAACCAAAAAAATATTTGTGATATCACGGAAGTATCCTGCCACATTCATTGTATGTGTGTTATTCACGGTGTCATTTAAATAATATATGGGGGAATAAATGGGCCCATAACCTGAGAGTAGCTTTGACGTGGTCTAGTGTTTTGAGTAGTCATGCTCACTAAAATGTCCAGACTTGTGGCGGCGTGGTGGGCCGGGTCATTGGGCTCCCTAAAATATGGTCGAGCGCAGTGATGGCTGGCTCATCCGTCATACTCGTGAACGGGTGCTGCTTGTAGGGACTGGTCTGCTCTAATCACTATGACTGATTTCCTCTTATTAATTGTTTAACCAGTTGGTTATGTATTCAATATTTTTTCTTTTTGAGTATTTAATTGAATTAGTGCTAATTGGTGGTTTGTATTCACACACTTAAACTTAAAAATGTAAAGTAATAATAAAATTATTTAAAAGAGCAACACGCAAGTTTCTTGCTCGTTCTTCTTGTGATGAGACAGCTTTCCGAACGAGCGGTAGATTAAAAAAAACGTAATGACTATTCAAAAGTGCTTCAATGTAAGTTTATTTGAATAAATGATTTTCTATTCTATTCTATTCTATTCCTGACGGAGATATTCAGTGGATTACATATACATATATATAGCAGTAAATATAATTTATTCTTGTTCCGATCAGTTGCACGTTACATATAAACTGTTACTTAGCAACATGATTACTTATTTTAAATGTGATGGATTAGACTTTTTCTTCTAAAATCAATGTGCCTAATATAAATGAGGTGTTATAATAACTAAGGCCGAGGTTAGCACTCTAGTGAAATCGTATCCGTCACGCAGGAGTTGGTCTTCAGCCGCTGGAAATATGGAGTATCTTTAACATTCGCTTCCATTTGAAGAGTTTTACGAGGAAAATTGGAGTAAAAGAATTTTACGTCTTTACAGAACAACTATTATATTTAGACAGCGCTTGTGACATCCTTTTAAACAATAAAAAACAAATTAATTTCTTCTTTTTTACACTCTCTTCTAATTTACACACGCGTGAGAATTATTTTTGTAACTACAGTACATGATAAAATTAATAATATACTAAACTAACTTAACAAGTACTTCGCCTTAACAGAGAGAATTTATGTTTATCAAACTTTATTTTATTTAAGGCTTCTGTAAATATATCTGCTATTTGCAGTTCTGTTGGACAATAATCAATGATAAATTAATTATTTATATACAATTCATGGATATAGTGGTAACGAACATCTATGTGCTTAGACCTTTTTATTAAATACGCCCGTCTTAATCAAAGCAATAGCACTTTGGTTATCTATTTTAAATAACACGTCTTCTGATTTAGCGTTTAGCTCGCCTAAAAGCGTCTTGATATACATAGTATGTTCGCAGCACTCTGCTGCCGCAATGAACTCCGCTTCTGTAGAAGACAATGCTACTATAGGTTGCCTTCTTGAGCACCAGGCAATTGGTCCATCACAAAGTTTAATAACATATACTGTAGTACTTTTCCGAGTTTCTAAGGCAGTCAGCATAGTCAGAATGACAAAATGATGTTAACTTTGAGATTGGAATCGAACCTGAAACACAAACCATCCTCTATAGTACCGGAAAGGTATCTAAAGATTCTTTTAACTGCTACTATGTCCCTTTTCTGAGGATTCTCCATATTTCTACTAGCTTTATTGACAGCAAACGCTATATCCGGTCTAGTTCTTGTTGACAAATATAGGAGACTGTCTACAGCTTCACTATAAGGGTACATCAACTTTTCCTCTTTGTCACACTCTACTTCTCCCTCTCCTGCGGGTGTCTGGGCATATTTGCACTTATCCATATTAAACTTCTTTAAAAGTGATTTGGTGTATTCAGTTTGTGTTAGATGCCATCCTACTTACCATTGAGAAAGGCTGTTTTTACATCAAACGTCATAATATTGTAGTTTTTAGCTGCGGCAATGGCGAACAATATTTTTATTGCGGTCTGCGATGCAACTGGACTAAATATATCGTCGTAGTCTACGTCTTGTTGTTCATTACCTCTTACGATTAATATAGCTTTGTATTTACCATCTTCTTTAATTCTGAATACCCATTTATTAGTTAATATTTTATGACCATATGATTCAGATTTATCTACTATTTTCCAAACATTATTTTCTTCTAAAGAATTTAGTTTACTTTCGATTGCCCTTTCCCACTTCTCTTTTTCAGGACTTTTTAATACTTCTTCGTAGGTTAGCAAAACATAGTCTTTGTATTTTTCTGGTAGCTTTCTTGTCCTTTTTCCAGACTTTCTTCTTGTTCTGTATGATCTGTTATTTTTCAGAAGTAGATCCCACTTCAAAATTGTCTTCAAACAATCGTGCGTCAATTTTCTCATTGTTCTCTTTTTCTATTTGATCTATTTCTTCATTCAGTTTCATTATTTATTTCAGTTTTTACCATTTCGTTGTTTTGGTTTTCCTTTTCATTTAAGTATTTATTTACATTTTCTTTTTCTTGTTTTAGTATTAATTCACTATCATCATTTTTAATATTTCTTTTTACAAATGTAATATCTCGGGCTACAATAACTTTTCTTTTTATATCATCCCAAAGTCTGTATCCATTATTTGTATATCCTATCATTCTATATTTTACTGCTCTAGCATCCAATTTCTTACTAGGTGGCAATATCTTTGCAAACGCATCACACCCAAATTCTTTAACATTCGAAAGATTTGGTAACCTTCCATACCATAGTTCAAAAGGTGTTTTATTATTTATTGATTCACTTGGTATTCGATTCAGTAGATATACACCGGAATAAAGAGCTTCATCCCACATTTATTTTTCATTTCAGACATGTATAGCAAAGAACGAATCTTTTCGAGCATAGTTCTGTTTAGACGTTCGGCTTTTCCGTTTAATTGTGGGCAGTATGGTACAGAGTAGTCTAATTTTATTCCCTTTTTATTGCAATAACTTTTAAAATTGTGTGAAGTATATTCACCACCATTGTCACAACGAATTGTAACAACTTTTGAATTGGATTCTCGTTCTGCTTCTGCAATAAAATTCTTTAAAAATGTTGTAACTTCGTCCTTAAATTTTAAGAGATACACTTTAGTATAGTGGCTATAATCATCTAAAACAGTTAAAAAATATCTATAACCATTCCACGTTTCCGTTTGTAAAGGGCCACAAACATCTGTGTGTATTATATCAAGTTTCCTACTTGCTCTAGTTCTTAAGGTTTTGAACGGTAACCTTGGTTGTTTGGCTCTTATACATACTTCACAACTCGTCATCATACCTATTTTATTTTCTATTTTTACGCCGTTTACTACATCAGGTAAATTTTTAAAATTTTCTCACCTGGGTGTCCTAATTTTCTATGCCAATTTTCAGCTGAGTTATCATTTTCTTCATTAGACAAGTATGCCTATTCTTCAAATTTTATTTGTTTTATCCAGTTTTACTACAAATAAGCCTGCATCTTCTTTTTTTACCAGCTATACCACAGCTCCGAATTTCTACGCCATGTCTATCAAATAATACGGTACCACCGTTTTTAACAATCTCTGGAACAGATAGTAAATTACGAGAAAGGTCTTGCACACACAAAACGTTCGTTACATCACATTCTGTTCCTATAAAATCACCTACATATTGCGATACCATAGTCGCATCTTTTTTAGCTATACCAACATCAATAGATTTGGATTTAATATTTGAGAGTAAAATTTTGTCGTTGACCCGGTCTAGTTTTACGTACGGTACAACCAGAATCAAGAACAAAATTTGCTCTCTCACTTTTAACATTGTTACTTGCTGCTAAGAGCGCTACTTTATTTTTCCGAAAAAAAAACAATCTTTTTCTTTATGAATTGTTTTCTTACAAATTTTACAAAATAAAAAATTCCTGCACAATTTTGCTATATAGCAAAATTGTGCCAGTAAAATTTGTCATATATTTATTACATTTAAAACACACATTAGTAGAATACGAGCTAGATGCCTGACCGTTACCTGTATTTTTACGCATTCTACCTTTACTCTTCCAGCAGCTAGGACCACTGATTGTAAATTCTCATTTTTTCTTTCTTCTTCTTTTACCAGTCTTATTCTTAAGTTCTTTAGCGTTCTTTCTTCTTTAGGAGTACTTTCCCAAGCTGTTTGTTGGTACGAAAGATTGGTAGTTGTCTATATTTGAAAGAATGTTTAGTATTTTAGATTTTATCCTTACATCATCAAATGGCATTTTAAATTGTGTCAGTCTATGTATTAAATTTTCATGCTTTGTAAAATTTTCATCCATGGATATGTCATTTTCAAATTTATAGTTGTAAAAATCTTGAAGCAAATTCATTTTTTTTTCGTTCTTCTGTGCCTTCAAAAACATCACATAGTACTCTAAACATTTCGTATGCAGTTGTGCATTGGAACAATTGGGTTTTATGCTTTTTTGATACACTTTGCAGAATAATATGTTTTGTCATAGTGTCTTTACCTGTTCGTATTTTTTCCTCAGTATTGTCTGCATTATCAATATATTGTAATAGACCTTTTGCTTCGACAAGAATTCTTACTTCAAATTTCCATAGCTGAAAGGAAGTGACATCATCCAAGAGACAAATTCGGTGAATTTCTTCAGCCGTTGCGACTGCCATTATTAATATTTTTACTGTTGTTCTACACTATTTTTATTTCTGTATTATTTATTTACTTATTATTTGCTCTGATAGCCCATAACCTGAACGGTTTTACGAGGAAAATTGGAGTAAAAGAATTTTACGTCTTTACAGAACAACTATTATATTCAGACAGTGCTTGTGACATCCTTTTAAAAAACAAATTATTTTCTTCTTTTTTACACCATTTTCGTCCGATCAAGCTGTAAAGACCAGATACGGCTAATAACTATTCGTTCTAAAAAAAACACACTATTCGACAATGTATCTGAATACCCCATCTGAGATAACTGTCATGACCCTATTTTTTTCAAATAAAAACATATTTAATGTTATTCTTTTGTTAATGACTCCAAAATCTAAACGTGATCCCATATATTTGGTAATGTAATACTCCGCTATGATAAATAATGTAATGTTTATCAGAATGCGTCGAGTAGTCTGATTAATATGAGTGACTTAAAACTAAGATACTGAAGATGCTAAAAATGCACTTAGCTGGCAGATGAGTAATTAATTACAATTATTTATAGGTATATGATAACATAGATTTATCTTTAATATTTTAGTTTAAAAGTGGATACACACAAGTGTATATAAACTGCACAATGATGAAGTCTGCTGCTAGCATTTATAGTAGAATATGTAACGAACTACAGATAAGGACATCAGGGTCAACTGAAAAAGCATGTTTGAATGCAATAGAAAAATATTTACAAAAAAAACACAAAATGATGTAAGTAACGTGTAAATTATTTTATAGTAAGTCATGTATAATTTAAATATTAAGGAAATATGTTCCTTAAAAACTAATTAATGAATCATGGTTCAAAAATAAGTCTTGTAATTTCACTTTTGTTTATATCAGTCCGTCACAATTGGAGGTTTCAGAACTGGTTTCTGTTCTCAGTGATAAGTTTTTCTGCGACTGAGTGAACATTTGTAAAGGAACTCCTGTGTAAGTGAAATGTTTTATGCATAAGTAGTTTTTTTCGTGGGAAATTAAAGACAATATTCGTATAATGAATAAGTTAGACCTCACAAGTGATCATAAACTGTTGAATATGATAAATTTAACCTGTCACCTATCCCACATGTTGTTATTCGCCGATTTGCATTTATTAGTTCCTTTATCACCTGCATCTGAAATTCCAGAACATGGTACATCTTCGATATAAAAATTGCCGGAATTAAATTTTGCAAACCAGTTATACTGGGCATACTGTCAACATATCGTATTCATTCACATTTGTTAATTTCTTTCTTAAACAGCATTTTTACCTTTAACGTAATAAAATAAATAAATATTACGAAAATGCTGCGTATTGCTCTCCATATTTAAATAAGCACCACAACTACTGCGTAGAATTGATTGAATTTCGTAAGTCTTTTAAATGTGAAGTTGCGTTTGTTAAAAATCATTTAAATTCTCTGTCGTGAAAAAACAAAATTACTTTCTGTACAACTTAATAAATACTGTTTTTCAACAACTTGTTTTAATCATTATTTATGTATTACAGTTTGCTAGTATTAGACGAGATCGATCAGTTAGATAGCAAGAGACAATCTGTGTTATATACAATATTCGAGTGGCCAGCTATGTTTACTTCGCACATAGTACTGATCGGAATCGCTAATGCTCTAGACTTAACAGAGAGGACGTTACCCCGACTACAGGCACGTTGTTCTCTTAGACCTAACACCTTACATTTCGCACCATACACCAAAGAACAGATTATAAATATTTTTACCACTGTGCTGGCTAGAGAGGACAAAAGCAATGCGTTTTCACCGGTGGCCTTGCAGATGTTGGCAGGTACAGTATAGTTCTTAAAAATTTCTATTAATTCTAAGAGCATCATAACAGCTATATATAATACTAGATCACACTAGCTGCATGGTCAATTTATCACTGAAATGATTTTAAGAAATTTTTATAATAATCCTTAGACGGATACAAACATTATACTTATGAGTACAAATGATTGTACAGTGCTAGATATATATATCTATATATATAAATAATTTATTGTGAGTGTATTAGAATGTAAATGTTTTTACAAGTATACTGCAGTGAAATAGTGATACTGTCTTTACAGTTGCACAATTTTTTATTTTTTCTAGATGTAAAAAAAAGAATAAGAAACAAAAAATAATGGCGTTCTATTTTCAGCTAAAATTGCTGCTGTTTCTGGTGATATGAGACGAGCTTTAGATATAGGAAGAAGGGTCATTGAACTTGCAAGACGTAATAAATTCTCAGAGAATCAATCTGTCGACGATATGATGAAAGATGCCACAGTTACCGTGGAGCTAAAACAAGTCCTAGAAGTGTTAAACGATGTTTATGGTGGGTCAAGGAACATAGAACATGATGTAGATGACGGCATTCCTATGCAACAAAAACTTATATTGTGCAGTCTCATGTTGATTTTAACAAAGGGCAAAAATAAAGATGTTGTTATGGGGAAACTTCACGACATTTATAAGAGGTGAGATTCCAAATTTAATAAGACATAGGCAAGATACAGATGTATCTCATAATATGCTTAAAAGACGAACAGTTTCTGAGCTATCTAGATATATCACTAGGACGCTGCTTTTTAAGGTCCGAAATATGAACATTGTTAATATTTTTATTATCATTAATGAGCTAATTATTTATGCTTAATATTATTTTTTACTCTATACACATGTGAGTAAAATAAAGTCATGTTCTGGTTATAAATAAATAACCCTGGACAATTAACAGTGCCAGAGATGATGATAATGTCTTCAACTTTCGTAGAGTGGCGTTGGCACGCAACATCGTTCCCTTGGACATGAGCGAGATGGCAGGTGCGTGTTCGCTGCTGGAAGCGCGCGGGGCGGTGCGGCTCACTGCGGGCGGAGGCGCGGGCGGACGCGGAAGACGCCTGCGGCTGCACTGGGACGAGGCCGAGCTCGCCGCCGCACTCCGTGACAAACCCCTGCTCTCTGCCATACTCAATGACGTCACTTGCCTCAACAATACCACGTAATACGACAGTTTCAACCAAAATACCCTGCTCTCCGCCATACTCAGTGACGTCACCTGCCAACACTACCACGTAATAATAGTTTCTGCCTTAACCTAACTACATAACATACCACGTATTCACTACAGTTTCAACCAAAATAGATATTAAGATAATAGATACTGTATTTTACATATATCCGCCCATTTATTGCTATGCCTACAGAAGCAAAATACATGTTTATTGCAATATTTTATTTTGGTAGAAATGCAGATTTACGTGTCAAAAAGGTATAAATACACCAAATGCGATTGCACGGGTATTTTTTGAGAAGTACGGGATATTTTTTGCTTGACAATAGTTTCTGAACGTAACGGTTTATTTATGGTTTTGCCAAATTCGGAGCGACACCTGATATCCACGGAATGTTAACGGGACTTTTGTGCTTGTTATCTAAGAAACTACAAGAAAGATTTCACACGCAACCATCACTCATGTGGATCGTGACTGTACTTTTTTCACATAGTTTTATATAAGTAACCATAAATGTTCGTCATACTGCGCTGTTGATCCATTTCGTTGGGTAGTCCAGCGCTACTTCTAGCTTTAATTGATTGTGGAGGCTTGTTGTGTGTGTTAGTTAGCAGTACGTAATTTTTATCATTTTAACATAATTTAATTCAGTGACCAGAATATGAAATAAAAATTGCTCATATGCCTCCTGGTACTTTTAGTTTATAAGAGTATTTTAGATATAAGTGTACAGAACATTTTTTAAATGTTCCAACAAAGTGTTTCATAGCATTTTATAAGGACTAAAGACTTTTAATATGGACAATTTTTCTTTATAGTAGTTATTAGACTACTATATCTAGGACGACGTCAGTTAATACGGGTCTGATTAAACGACTGAGTTTTGTGTGTTATTTACTATCTTCAATTTTAAATATACATTATAAATTAGTTAATTTTCAAAGGAATTTTGTTTGAAGTTTTAATTGAATTGACGTAGTTTGTATGAAATATATATATAACATATTTATTGTGTTTCTATGAAATATATATTCTGCCTAATTTGAGATGAGTGTAAAAAAATTCCTGAATGCAAAACAAGTACGAACCGTACCTACTTCGTTTGACTTATCTTGACGCGTTAAATACTCAGTTTTTTTTGTCATATGTTGTTAATATTTTTATCAAAGTAATTTATTGATTGTCTATGATGTTGATTAACACAAACGATTACAAGCGTCTGTTTGAAATAGTTAATTCTCAATCGATAAATTATATTATTATACAAAATTTGTTATACAGTTCATATGTTGAGATGAACGAACGATGGTTGCTTACGAATTGTAGACATATATCCGGGGCTATTTTTAGTAAAATGTTTATATTTATACAGTTTCTATAAAACAACAGTACATGAAATAAAAACATGTCATGTCATAGATTTATTTTTATACTAGCTCTACCCGCGACTTCGACCGCGTGGAATTTAACAAAAAGTTAATTAGAGAATTTTTCTAAAATAAAAGTAGCCTAAGTTACGCCTCATTACACCACTTATCTGCTAATAATAGTCCCGTCAAAATCGGTCCACCCAATTCTGAGATTAGCCGGAACAAACACACAGGCAGACAGACAAAAATTGTAAAAAACGTTATTTTGATGCGGTTCATGCATCAATGAAGTATTTATATTCATATGTAGTATAAAACAGTTATTTGAATATCACAAACAGATACTCCAATTTTATCTTCCTCAGCCGTATGGTTATCGAAATGATTTACTTGTAATTGCTAGATACTCCATGCTCGATATGGCCTTTATGGCACGTTTTCTATGTAATGCTATTCAGACTTTCGAAAATTACAAATATTCAATAACATTAATGATGGAATATACGTAATAGTCAATCAACCAGAAATGTTATCTCGTGATTCGACATGTAACACGCAAATCATCCACAAAAATGATATAACAACCGTAATGCAATCCCATTACGGTTGTTGTATCTTTTTTGTGGATGTTACTTTTCATTGCTTCCTTATATTGCCCTAGTATATATTTTCAAATTACCTGTAATATACCCGAAGCTGTATATTTATTTAGGCAGCGATAGCCACTTACCATTAGAAGGAGTCATCTCCTATTGCCATGAAGTTACTGTTTTAAAAAAACTTAAATTATTACATTCGTTATACATCATATAAGTACACATTGTAAATAAACTGGCTTTTAAAAAAATAAGAAATTTAATTAAGTTTTACCAGTTCTTAATTGAATCTGTATACTGAACAGTAGGTAAAAAATTAGAATCTAAAACTTTGACGTTCATAAGCCGCTAAAATGTCCTACATGAGTAAGTGATTTTTGAATTTGAATTACGGATGTGTGACGGTGATTAATTACGGGTTTCTAAAATAATCGTTTCATAAGGATATGCAACCAGTAGAGCCCTTTTCGAACATATTCCTCTTATCAGGCATTAGATTCTATCGGATATTTCCAAACTTTGGTAATTCCGGTTTATTGCAGACTTTCACGTTACATGTTGATAGTGTTTTTGTGACTATTTCGATTGATAAAATTAATAATAACTCGAAATTAAAAGAAATCCAAAATTATGTTAAATTACCGTCTTAAATTTTAGAACTGATATAACCGGTTTTGGTTTCTTATTGAATGTTTACTGTCTGTGCTTTCACTACGTTATAACTGTTATTATGTGTCGATCTATATTCAGGTATCAATTTTACATTGATTGCATATGCTTTAAATTTTAAATTTATGTATGTTTTTTAGGTGTAAGATTTTTTATATTGGTCTGTTTTGCGTCGACTAACATAGAAAACGCACGGAGCTTATTAACCAGTTATTTACATCTAGAGTAGTCTACTTGAAATATAAATCTGCCCGGATGAATCGATTAAAATAAAAACAATCTAAATCCATCTGTTGCTGCACAAAATATGTTAAAGAATGCTTAAGTGAGAAGTTTCTTATTTCTCTTGTAATTAGGAAAAAGAATTATGACTATGACGAGCAGGAAACTACTGAACAGATGTCGCAGATATATTATACTGGTTATATTACTTTGCTCAAACGCTGGTACCAGCGACTCTTCGTTTATGAAACATTCGGTAGTTTCTGTTGTGGCGAATTAATTATCGTTAGGCCTGGATATTCTTGCGAACAGAGGTGTGTGGCCACACTATCCACAAGAAGACTCGGCATGTCGTTGGCGCCCTTAAAAATAGATACAAACAACATAACTAACGAATAGCTACTGAATATTGGTATGCAGATGTATATTATTTATATAGATTTATCACGTACTAAATAAGGATGATCGTAATTTTTTGAAATAGATGAATTTATTTACCGTGCCGATCAAATTTATAGAAACTGTGGGACTGGTCTAACTGACTATAATATTAAATATTGCAATTAATTCAGATGTCATAAAAATTGGTTTACGTGTTTTCGGATTTTCTCGCAAACCATTATTTTCAAACGGTTATTTTATGATTGTATTTTTATATATATGAGATAAAACCATATTTAGCTTTCAACCTGTGCACAGTTACTGGACCGTTTTAAATTGCACCTACGGCTTTATTAGATCTCGACGTATGAAATATCTTTAGTAATTTAAATTGTAAAAGTCGCATGTAATTTAATACAGTCGTTTTAGTGTTGCCTACTAACGTGCTCATTTCGACTAAGATTCTAAATATTGTTATTCTTTTGTAGGCACCTTTTATCAGTATTTCTTTAATGTTACTATTAAATGTTTTTTTGTATGGTTCTGTATATTGATGATGGGTGACTATATTCTGCTGGCCTACGTATGAACTCGTATCTATATAATAATTAAATTTAAAGGTTTTCAATAACTTTTGACTTTTAGTACCGTTCGTTAAAAATGTCAAATTAAACTTGTTAAAAATCGATTATGTTGCAGTCCATTCTTTTTTGAGATTTTAAATTTTATGATCATGTATTTTTTGTTAATTATTGATGAATAAAAACAAGTTCAAACAAAAATGTAGGTACAGATGATTGTTCGTCTTTATTTGAATTAACATTATCTAGTAAGTAGTAAAAAATATGTACCGCTTGTGTTCTGTTTAATCAGGTCTTGTTAGAATTTGTATATATTTTTAATGACGACTAATTAATATATTGTTAATTACAACATTCCATCAATATATGTGTATATCCTTCCTAGAAAAAAAGTTACATCTTTACAAATTTTGTTTTATTATTATATATCTTGTAGTTGACCAAATATGTTAATTTTCTAGTTCCGTAGTCTTATATATCCTTTAATGTTTTAGTATGGTTAATAATTCAAGTATTATGTATTTTATTTATATTGTTAATTGTACTGTAGACCCGTCGTGTCGTATCGTAGAAAGTTATTACTATATTGTCCCTCTTTTTTGGTTATAAATTATTGTATGGATAATGTAATTTTTTCAAATGTCTCAAATGTATGTGTAGAACAGGATATTGAATAAAATGCTTGTATTTAAATAATGCCGCTACGAATGTAAAATGAAAATATCCTTGTCATTCTTCCCATGTTTTTTGCATGCGTGCATTCTTCATTAATTTATTGTGTTGTTTATTTTAACTTAAGCTGGGATTTTAAAATATTTTGTTTGCTGCATAAATTAAATAAAAAAATCAGAAATAAAAATACCAAGTTCATTTATTCTAATACTTATGTTAATCCTATTTTGTGCAAAAAGACCTTTTTACAAAAGTTATCTTAAGAAGAAATCACTGGGTAGGTACCATAGAAATGACTGACCTTCAAATTGTGACAACAGATTGTATTACACTAAAATACTAATTCTTTAGTAGCATTATAATTAAAATTATTTTACTTGCATACTTTCATTTTTGCTGTCACAATATAAATTATCATGGAGACTACCAAATAAGGTATTTTTAATATACCTTTTAAGTGAATAATAATTTGTTAAATAATAAATAACTTAAATACAGATAGCCATATCATTTTGTACACTGTCAGCCATGTTAAAATACTAAAGGTGAGGGGTGATATACGAAAATTCAAGCTCATAGACGTAGTCCAGGGTTGCGAGAGCGTACGAAGTTAAGCAACTCGTCGCTGTCCTCGCAGACGAACGGCTTCACATGATGGCACGCCACGTCGTGCCACTTGATGCCATCATTGTAGAAGTTGTTCAAAATTGACAAACACGACTCGTCATTGCCCTGCGCGAGAAAAAAAATAAGTTGTAGAACTGACATAATAACAGTAACAGGTGATTTCATGTCTATTAGGTCTTTCAACTCAATTCTTAAGACGCGAAGTGATAAAATTCTTCACGCCTAACCGGTGAATCACAACATTCGTAACGTAAATTTCTAAGAACAACTTTCAAGTTTATTTTATGGCGTAATACCTCTTGAACGAATCGAAATTTGTCGTGGAGTTTCACTTTCTTTTGGTAAATAACTGAGATGCGGGTGTTAAATATTGCGACGTAATATTTGTCAGTGTAGGTAAACATATTAACGATTGACACTGTCAATATCGTAGCGGAATAACATGTTACTCACTTGTGCGGCTTCCCTGTTATCAGGTTGGGGTTGTCCATATCCTCCAGTGTAAGACCAATCTCCGGTGTTACGCTGTGTGGTTGGTCCAATCTTGGCGCCCGAACCAGACCAGAACCAGCCGTTTACATTGGGAGGCTGAAGATCGGCTCTATCACATCCAGCGAAGTTACACTTGCGACCGGAGGTCCAAATGTAGCGGACATTGCCGCGTGCGATCCTCTGCTTAATGAATTCGTTCTCCTGCCAACGTAAATATAGGATTTTAATGCAATAGAAATCGAACCAAATGATCAGACAATAAGATATAACTCTCTACTGTTGAACTATTTACCATAGGCGATCATTTAAACTACAAATCTGAGCACAATTGTTATAAAATACCTAATTGAGATGCCAGCAGTTGATTAAAATATAGAATAAAAATTATCGTAAATTTTAGCGTATCACAAGTCGTTCATATCATATATATATATATTATAGGTACCTAGGTATTAAATATTATGCATTTCACGTGTCTACAGAAGGAAATAGGTAGGTAACCGCCGAGCCTTACGTTGATGCTAAATAAGGAAGTTGAGTGTCATGACCGCAGGGGTCAATGACTTAAAAAGTTTGAAATATATAAGTAAAAAATAAAATAACAAAATTCTTAATCCTACTTCTGAGAATGTTAAACAAGTCGTTAGTCTATCTGATGGAAAGTGGTAACTGTAGTCAAAAAGGACTAAAATAATAACAGGTAAAGGCAGTTATACGAAAGTGTAACTCAACTTATATTAAATTAAACAATTTTGTTCAATTTCGAAGTTAAGCAAGGAAATTTTACATTCTTCATAAGTTGAAATATTAACGATATTAAAACAAAAACTGGTTTCGAAATGTATGTAAATAAATAAACCCTTTTCATAACACAATTTTGCGTAACTAGGTACAGATGCTAATTTTATATTATAGGTAATGCAATAGTTCAAAGGTAGAGATGGAAGTACCTAATCTTGTTATTTGCAAAACCTTATGTGATTATGGCGATGTGGCACAAGGAGTGTACTGTAGTGTACACGTACATACGAGTATACCTACTACAATGTGACCGACGCGGACGGGAAGCATGCGTCCGTCGTTTACGTCCGGTAGTAATAGCAAGAACTGGGCAATACGGCTGCAAGAGGAACTGAGGAATTTGTGCCATGTGCCACTTGTCTGGCCTCATCGCCTCATAGACGATGTGACGCAGTCGGCCGTTGCACCCCTTTCACGCGACGTCTTTATTGCTCTACAAACCGATTCAATCCACTTAGTCTATTCTAATAAATATTAATAAACTGACTGCTGATCTGGTGCCTTCATTTGTCTTGTTTCTCTAAAACTGTTTTGTTGTTAATATTCCTCTTTTCGTAAAATTCTCCGTATATACGAGCACTAATTTTTATTTTGTTATAACACAGTAGTAGTTATTCAACTTCTGTTTTAAATTAGTTTCAGGTTTTCTGCTGAATTTCTTTAATTAGAGATCAATTGATTATATAATATATTGGTGGTCTAATAAGGGTTTAAACCTTATAATTTTTTTTTATTTAGATATTAAATTTATATTTCTGGATTAAAAATACCTGTTTCAGAGTAGCCTAACAATGTTGCGGTAAAGAGCTAGTAGGAGTAGGTGTATATAAAATGCTTGTGGTGCGTACATTGACATCGATAAGAAGATGCGACAGGAAGCACTTATTTAGAGAAAACTTTCGAGCTGTCTGTATAAATCCGGATAAATAATAGACAGAACACAAATGTTATGCAGTCTACAAAATTAATAACTACAGGTACTTTTTAGCCATATATAAGCCTTACGATAATATGATATTGCCGTAAGGGAAAACAATAATAGCTAGTACTACTAGAATAGAGCGAATGATGAAACTGTAGTTTTTACTACACACATTTTTTAGTGTAAGTAGTTATCTAATAATGATGGTGTGAACAAACATAGAAACCGTGTTCATATAGGTATATTGTTTGTTTTCCGGAAGACTTAATTCCGCGTAGGTAGTCTAGTAAGTATCGGCATATTATTTTAATTATACGATGATTTTAGATCATAACATGCGTGTAATATCTTATTATTATTTTTATTATAAACGCGAAAGTTTGTTGTGGATATTTGTTACTGTTTTACGCAAAAACTACTGAACAGATTCTGATGAAACTTTATAGTAATATAGCTTATACATCAGAATAACATATAGGCTATAAACTGCACAGCTAGTGAAATATAAATTAGTTAACCAAATATATATGATAATTCAATGTTTATATTGAAACAATTATGTACCTATACCTACCTAACAATCCGAAACTTGGTGATAATATATTTTTTTATAGTAGATACCTATAGAAAAATTATGTCAGCTCTTGACAACACAAGAAAGTGTAATTACATTTACTGACTAGCATGGTTGTTGTGCATGTGTGTAACCTACTAAAATTTCATACGAATCTCTTCCTAGGCTTTTTACTTTTCGTTTACAGTTCTAAGATATAGTTATAGGAAGATAACAATAAAGTTTTTATTAAATATTAAAATTTAAAAATAGTAATGTTTTGAATGTTCATGGCTGACATTAATTTTATAATTTAAGTAAATTACTATCGAATTCATATGTTATTGAATAACTATGTGCCTCCTTGCTGCACAAATGTTTGCTCTTATGAAATATAAATTGCAATTCAAAATTGCTACATCAAAGATTGTTAAACTTGGAAAGTGAACGCATCACGTTCACGATTGACCCTGTCTCATGATTTATCTAAATGAGGATTACGAATAGAGTACTTATCTATCATTTGTGATATACACATTGTGCGATCTTTGTGCTCAAGGCTCATTGCGTTAAGATTTCAAAAATCATCATCACTCGCGCATTTAGGTGTGATTAAGGACAGTTTAAGTGATCAAAATTGTATTTGTTATTCATATTCAACTAAACTTACTTTATTTATCGAAAGAGAGATCAATATGATGAGATTTTATTTTATGTGTAGGTATATTCTATTTTAATATTTTATTTACCAATCAATTTCAAAGTGGGAACTTCTCGAATTGATATTATTATTTTGTGTATCAATACAATTGGACACAAAATAATGAATAAGGCTCCCGCATGGGCCCGTACCAACTCATATGTATCAAATAAGTATTTAATAAATAATATTTTTATGGAATAAAATAAATGCACTTTATGTATGTACCTAATAAAATATTTTGGAAGAATAATACACTGACCTGCGGTGTTTCGAGTGAAACTGCGTCCATACAATGGCGGCGGCAGATGTTCCTGGCATCAAGCCAGTCCACCTCCAGATTTCTTGTGGGTGCATGTTCCCAGCTGAAGAAGTATGAATGTAGAACACCACGGGCATCCCGATACGTCGAATGACGGACCCCTGTAGGTAACAGAAAACAGAAATAAGTACTATATTATTTTTAAAAAATAACACTTGTGCTACAAAGAATCTGATGGCTAGCCTACATAAAAGTGTTAACATATGTACATAAAAAGCTAATTCCTATTATATGGTGAACATCTAAAAATACTCTATGATAAATAAACAGGTAAGTAATGGCAGCTTGTGGCCAATTGTTTGCTAGGAGCGCTAACAGGATATTATCGTATTCAATTTCTTATGAATTCGCGACAACGTATTAATTAACCATACTTCATGCTTTTCCCATTATCTTCCAGTGGTAATCGTCACGCCAGCGCCGGCTGCACTACAATATTGTCAATCAATAAAATCAAGTATGCCTTTCCAGTCCATTTTCCAATGTACATTCCATGTACTTATCAAGAAAATCGTCGATTAATCGTAGACATGATTAGCTTAACGGATATAACATACCTGTATAATATAATGACAGAATATATAATACAATATAATGGCCATTCACATCTAATGCCTCCGTAATAAAAACAAATGTAGGTACTGGGTACCGGATTTCGTACCAAGTAGGTAATTATATTTTTTAAGAAGGTAGGTTAAGTTAGTATAGAATAGAATAGAAAATCATTTATTCAAATAAACTTACATTGAAGCACTTTTGAATAGTCATATCATTTTTTTTTTTTATTTATTATCGCTCATTCGATGCTGTCTCATCACAAGAAGAACAAGCAAGAAACTTGTGTGTTGCATTTTAAATAATTTATTCTTACTACAATTTAAGTTTAAGTGTGTGAATACAAACCACCGATTAGCACTAATTCAATTAAATACTCAAAAAGAAAAAAAAAATTGAATACATAACCAATAACAAATAATGGATGAGAAGGAGTCATTGCAACATGTTGTAAATTAGCTACAGACCACTAAGCACGTTGTACAAAAGTAATGTTACATATTGAGATGACTGTGACGACAGACCTAGGTGGTCATATTTCGAAATAGTGTTTATCTGTACCGTCTTGTCGTTCGCGACTTTACACAACAGTACTCACTCGTTCTAATTCTCATAAACCTTTATCCATTTATCAAACATCCTAAATACAAAAGGTTATTTTGCGAAATATAAATTAGAATGGAGCAATACCTTACAGCTTTACCTAATTCAAAATTTGGCAATATAATTCAGGTACCTAAGTATTTATCATCTGGGGTACAGTGGGATTTATAAAGATATTAATTAGGCACAGACACAGACGACGACGTTATATACCTGCTGAAAATCCAATATCAATAGTGAAGTAACTATACAAAAAAAGTTTTATTTTTTAATAGTAATTTAAATTTGTAATTGTTAAATAAATAATACATTCTGAAAAGATATGTGCTATATTTCAATTTTAAGTCAAATAAACACACGATATTAATTTATTTTCATCAACACTTAATATCCTGATAATTGCATCCATGTCTTCGGCAATGAAATAGGATATCAGTGTAGGTACTATTTTCTTTAATTTTTGTCTCTTGAAGTCCTGTGACTAAATAAGTTTAAAAAACATGAAAGTAACTGTAGTGTTTTAGCCAAGAATAGACTAATTTAATGTTTAACTCTGTTTTAGTTAGAATAGGCCGATTACCAACCAAGTTAAGGGTACGGAGGGTGGTTCTCAGTTTAACTCTATTTTTTGTGTATGTTACGTGATATCTTTGCTTCACTAATTCTTAACAAATTTCGACAATTCTTTTTGCAAATAATTATTGATTGTTCCATATTAATTTGATGACAAATTATTGACAGACATGCAATAACCTAATCAATGCTTTAATGAGAGGTATTGCTGTCATTCTAAAATTATATGCAATTGTGAACGAGTATACATCGTTAGGTCATTCAATGAAGCGACTCTTGTAACTATGCGTACCTACTTAGAAAGTGTCAATTTTTACCTCTCTCTGTTTCAACTTTTCGCGTAAGAATACATAACGAAGCAATAGAGGTTCATATGTAGAAATATGTGAGTGCCTACTCACATATTTCTACATATGAAATCTCTAAAGCAGTAGCCATTCACCCATTCACATCATTCAAAAATCATTATTATCTACCTTAATATGGTATTACCATCTATTACCGAACCGGAAGCATTTGCCATAGTGTTCATAAAAAATATATGGATACCTTACCCAATGTTTATTGTATTATAAACCAGTCGATTAGCTTACGTAATCCCAATAACTAATAGGTAAGTATATATATACTTATTTTAAAGCTATTGTAATTGTGGGAATTTAACCTAGGTCATTTACCTTTATTTATGAAAGCATTTAGTAAGTGGATAGGTACTATTATATAGATGAGAACCTACCTAATACAAGACAATCTTTCGCATCTCTATTCTGCAGTGAAAGCTGTACCTACCTATGCAAAGTAAGCAAATACATTTCGCAACCATTGTAATCTTTTGTTTTATTGATTTATAGTGAAATTATTAAAAAAAGTAGTTCGTTTATAAAAGTTTCCTATATACTGTAGAGTTCAGTTACGTGATTAACTCAAAAGTTTATTAATTCTTAACCGATTTTAATAATAGTTTTTTTTTTAATGAAAGTATTATTATAAACTATTATATATGGTAAATGAAAGTTATATTATTGTCTTATAAAAATTAATTTCGATTTGTTTGTAAAGATAAAGATACGAACTAAAAATTCAAAGTTTTCCTAAATAAATTTTATGTAATTATTAGTATTATATTATAATGTTTAACATGCTACTGGATAGCATGACTTATATGTTATAATTTTTAATATGCTTCTGATAGCATGACTCTATATGCGCTATAATCGCAACCATAAAATTTATTTAGGAATACTTTGAATTTTAAGTTCGGTATAGATTTTGTGATATCAAAAGTATAGTTCAGTATGAAATCATAGTCATAGGTATGCTAGCTAGAGTACAGCTTCATTAACTTATTTCCAAATTGTTAACGGGATATCGTAATACCTAAAGCAAAAACATTGTCACCTAAAAAATTGATCCGGAGTGGAGAAGACAAAATTCTATAGACAGATTAACGTCAAAGTATATTAGACTTTGAATGATATTCAAAGTTGTTTAGGATGAATTAATATTTATTTATGAAAGAGCTAGACCAACATTTAACATTACTTATAATTCAAAAACGGGTGGTTGAAGACATTTTAAGTACTCGTATAATTTTCTTAAGACTTATCTACTTTTATACACAGTTCACAAATTTTAATATAGGTAGATCAATGTGTAGGTAGTTAAATTAGGCTTTGATAAAAATGTTATTTTGAAATTGACATAAAGGATCTTTGTTCGCTTTGTGCGTTCCACTGAATGTGGATCGTTTGTATTGTGGTGACAAGTTGGTATACACACCTGCATTATGTGTTCGTATAGCGAATGCCGCACCTTAGTACGGGTTGAGCATTGCGAAAGCTTCTATTATCATTCATCCCACAAGAATGCTTCTATAGGCACCTAGGTACTTACTACATAAATAGTTACTTGACATTTGACATGTCAAGTAGGTATTACGTTCACAACAACATAAACATATACTCGTAGTTGACTAAGACTACCACATAGGATCACTGGCACATATATCATATAAGTATGTCTCCTACATAAAGTGACCTACAAATAACCTCATGACTTCCAATGTGCCATGGTGTACCTTGTGATGTAAATTCCTGGTGCAATTTCTACGATGGTCTAACTACCTGACCTAATGTTCATTATTCTTCACTGGTGCCTTGCCAGCGTAAACCGATGACGCATGCGGGTGCACCATTCCCTTATAATCAATTACTAAAGTATACGTACGTACATATATACGCAGTTTATACATAATTTATTCTTAGTTTTTAAGTATGTACATAACCGACCGATAGTAGTTACACTACTTATATACCGACCGATATGTAAACACTATCATCACATTATATTATTACATGAGGATAGTGTTATTCAATAGGCAGACTTCTCATTTTGAAATTTTAAAAGTTCTAACAATAGGCCGGATGTAATATATGTAGATTTAAAATAACGCCGAACATTTTAGTTCGTAAATGAAATCTTACTAGGTAATATTGCAAATAATGTGAAAGTTTTGTAAATATATTTGCATATTTGTTACTCAATCACGTTTAAATATTAGCAAAACGATATTCAAATTTTTCATTTCAGATAAGTCATATGGCATTATATGGTATATACACATATTATTATTTAAACTAGTAATGTATAAGATCTATCTGACTATTTATGTAAATTTCTATACATTCAAAATTTTATTTTCTTGTCCTAATATATAATATTACAATTAATATTAGGATAGAAAATAAAAAAATTAAATACGTGCATATGTGTCGACAATATGTAAGTATAATTATAATATCTATGTAGGTCATTATTTTATGAAATCGATTATATATTTATTTTGCAAAAGGTAAAACGTGATGTGTATTGTACAAGTATGTAGGTACGAGTGTATGCTTTACCTTCCAGGCAAGGTAAGCAACTCTGTGAACTCAGTACTACATCGTGATGACCAACGTTTTAGACCTTGAAGATGTGCATACCCTTGCTGTATATACCAACTGTTTTTATCCAATGTAACTTGAAATTTATTAATAGTTTAAGTTTAGTGTACACAGCCAATAGTAATGTCTATGTAAATACTAAATGATTTAGAAATAATAATGATATGTAGGCTGTAGTAATAGGTATATTAAATAATTTAATTATTTAATATATCTATATACACCTATAGGTAAGTTACTTTGTTGTAGAAAAGTATGAATGTGTTCCAAAAATGAATAGTCATCGTCAGAATTTCAATTCATAATTATTATTTATATTAAATATGCATTCTATTCTTATGAAAAATATAATGGTAGAATGGATGAGAAATAGGCTACGTATAAAAATGCTAAAATACGTGGAGGGTGAAATATTTTACAATAAACAGTTTTCAAATTAATTGGGTTAATTATTCATAGTAATTGCAGTTTGACCACTTATGGTACCTGTGGAAGATGATAGGATGAGCATGAAGTCGGGTCAATTACCTATCCTAGCGAAATCACCAGAATTAAATCGCGATGGTTTCTAAGGGGACCGCTTTGAGGCTGACCTGATATGTTACATTAATAGTGATAGTACTAGTTGCTTTACATTATAAAATTAAATATTCTAAACTTTTATTATAGGAAATATAGATATATCAAAATATTCTCATTGGAACGTGAAATACAATCTGCATCCTACATGGGCGAAGCTGTATGAATAAATATCAATTCGTACTTCCATACTAAATAATATGAAAATATATCTGTATATGTACTTATATATTTCTCATGACTAAACGAGATCTTAATGAAATTTATCATGAATGTAAGGAAGGACATACTGAACTCAAGTCCATCTCAAGAAATAAAGTTGAAGAAGGTGAAGTAAGGATAGAACATTTATGTTAGCGAAATCATGGGTACCAGCAAGTGTATATTATTGTCATTTATTAGTAGTATTTTTACATGCATACATATACATAAGTAACTAAATGTTCATAATAATATACTTAATTAACTAGCTGTTCCTGATTTCTACTTCACTACCCTTTTTGAACTCTCCCAGATTAATTTTCTAGATAAAAGATAGAAATCTATCTTCATGGCAATTTTTATTAGGATCTGTTTAGCGCCGTAATAAGACAAACGGACGCACATTCTAATTTATAAGAATATTATTACCCTTAAGGAATCGTAATGTTATATAATTTGGTAACTTGGAATTTGAATTTAGGAATTTGAATGGTGATAATACGTACTGTTGGAACAACTTCTGGGGTCAGGTAACGCCAGCCGTCTCTGGGCATCGGCAAGGCATATTACGGCCAACAGGGCCGCAGCTGCCAGGCAGGTGTGCCGGCTCATCTGCGTACAAACACATACAATTATTTCTACACTGGTACAAAATTGTCCTATAAGTAGTTTTAAGACTTTTAAGTAACTGAGAGCTGTTCTGTTTTTATTTTTAATTTAATTGTCAACGTTTAGGCATCTGTGCTAGGTTTGTTTTATTGGTAGGTTCTGTTAGTAGTTGTTACAAATGATTTTTAATGTATCGTAATTTCTAATAGTAGATTGCTACACGTATATTGGTTTGATAAAGTACTCTATTAGATATTCTTAAATCACTTCAAAGAACAAAAATACTTAAAATCGAGGCATTCAACAGAGGACAAGTTAAGCCTATGCCTATCTTAAATTTATCAAAACTGAATTAGACTAATTTAAACTAAACTTTAGTAGAATGCATTTACTATAGATAACATAATTGAAGATAATTGAGACAAACAATTATATTATAATAAACTTATTAATAATTCCAAATGAGTGCTATATATTCATCATACATAAATCCAAGTCAAAACTATAAAAATATAATATTTAAACGATAATACATGAAATGTCTGATGGTAAATCTAAGCAAAGTCATGTGTCAACCGACTATTATTACTTACTACTTAGTTACGTACTTTTATTGATAACCGATCGCAATAGATAAAAAAATACATAATTTTGTACAGGAATAATCTTAAACTTCATATTTATTTTGATGATGATAATGGGGTTTTGTTTTTGCTTAGTATTAAAGAAAGTGACCACTCTAACTGTTGACACCATAGCTACGAATTCGCTTTCTTTTACTTATGCATACCACCAACGTCTGAGGACAATCGATACGTGAGATGAATTCATTTTGTCGTATTTTGTGAAAGCAAAACTCGCCTTACTGACCTCCTTGCCTCAAGTTTAAACGATCGCGTGAAAAGCACAGTGCGAGAAATCGATGATTTGGGAACGCATTTTATGGTGACGGAAAGTTGCGTAGTCGCTCGTCATGAGTTATCTTATAGGCAAACATAACTTTTTGTACCTTACATACTTTTATAAGCACATGTGTATTTACAACCTATAGTATCTACTTACTTAAATACCGCAAATGTGAATTACTTTATATTTATATTTATGTAAAATAGTTGACTGGTCGGTTCGCTATTAGCATTTAGTCCGCCTTTTATACCATTGTTTTGTACATAAATTATTTTAATTTGATAAATACAGTTATTACTAGCCATCCACAAAATACTGTTTTTACTGGACACGCTATATTTAAATCATCTTCTAGTAAGTATCCCACTGACACGAACTAAAATAGAATTTGTTCTTTTTTCATCGTTGGCATAAACTGCAAGTTTTATGAATTATAATTTTACACAATTCAGTCGAAATGGAAATTAACTAATTATTCTTAATATTGTCCCGATACTGTGTCTTCGCGTGATTTAATTTATAGGATCAAGGCTGCTCGGACTGTTGTGTAGAGTTTTGATAATTTTGCGCGTTTAACAAATCTAAGAAGAGATCTATAAAAACATTACAGTTGAAATTAACTAGGTTCGAAATAGTATAGACTAACCCGAACTAGATTTAAAATTAAATAATTTAATTACGATATTCTTGATTAAAAATAAAAAGGGTACAGTAAAAAACATAATATTTAATTCGATTTTAGAAGAAAAAAATACTATTATCCTGTGTTCGATTTTCTTGTAATAATTTTCACGCACTGAGTTAACAAAAAATATATTGACATTGCTATAACATTCTATTCACTGTAAAAAGAGGTGCGTCGTTTATATAGCGCGTACCTCTGTAGTTGGTCGGTGGTTGAAGTTAAGTAGATGATAGGGTTTGCGAGCGAACGGTTACTTGTGAAGCCGCGTGCGGTGTGGGCGCAGTACGCGAGCGGGATGCGCGACTCTGTCGGAGTGACTGACGCAGGCGCAGGTCTCCTCTCTAATTAAGCCTCTGGCATTCATTCACTTTCACTTCCAATATGAGAATAGTTAGCTTTACGGTACCTCTTCTTCAGACAGGACTAAGAGACCTTCTGGAGGTCGCAGCTAACGTATTAACGAGTTTACGTAATAGGTGTTACTCAAGTACCTGACATAATTGAAAGGTACGGTGACGCTTTCAACTATGGTGGATGTAAGGTACCACAGAAAGTAGCTACATCATTAGAAAACAATATGTTAATATTTAGAACATATTGGGTTAACAAAAATACCATATTACCTACTATCGTACAAACAATATAAAAACAAGAGATCATGAGAATAAGTGAACGTTTGTTACTCTTTCATGCAAAAATTACTGATTATGACTAATTTGAATTAAATTTACAACACAGATAGGTCATATCGCAGGTTAACACACATTTTATCAGAATTGTTCCACGATATACAGACAGGTATGCTCATTCCTGAATCGAATAGGTATATGTATAAGTCTCGTGATTGTAACAAAACTTCTCCGAAACGGTTTTATCGATTCTTGTGAAATTTTGTGTATATTTCAGTAGGTCTGAGAATAGGACGGAAACAATTTTTCATGCCCCTAACTTTAACCATTAAAAATACATATAAAATAAATTCACCCTTTTACCATCAACCCATATTTTTTAATAGCGTATAAATATAGTACTTTAATAAATTTCAGAGATAATTATAAGGCAGAACAACGTTTGCTGTGTCAACTAGTTAGTATATAGGTATACCTTATATTATTAACACAATAAAAAATGCATGTTCGACAATGAACATCGGCTGTGCTATGTTGTGTTACGAGGTCATAAGTATATCTGAGATAACCTGTGCAAACGAACGATAGCTTAGTGAAAGTAAAATTACAAGTTAGTGGTTTTGTATTTACATGTTGGTACAATTTTTTAAATAGATTGTATCATCTGTACATATTAGAGGCGTGAAGTGGTCTTAAGTTATTCGTACGTACACGTGTGGTTTTTTAGTGGGTCATAATCTGACACATCCCTTCGTCACCCCTTTTTCCACAGGATAAAAAAAAAGTTATTACGCCGACTGAAAAATAGTTTAAAATACTAGTGGTGCTATTTGTTTTTAGTAGTCTGTACCTACCTATATATATCGTAAGATAATCTGATAAATCTGTGAAACATCAATATTAGCCGAAGCTATGCAAGTGTTAAAACCAACATTTAAACTCTTATCAATAGAGGTACCTCATTATACCTGCTCAGCTTGGGACTAGATGGCGCTGTGTGAATTGTCCTGAGATATTATATTATATATATATATATATTTATTATTATTATTATTACCTATGCTAACATTATAAAGAGAAAAGATTTTTCTGTATGCTTGTAAAGAAAAAATACAGGAACTGTTTTAAAATTACTTTTACCTATAGATAAATAATGTAAGTACTGCAATTACAAGATCCTAATTATTTATTCGATAGAATTTTTGAAATTTAGTTTAAATTGAGTGAATCCAAAATAAACAAAAATATCTCTGATTTTACCGAAATGAAAAAATCATTCTACCTGACTGATAACAACTTACATACCAGAAGATATAAGAAGACTTACCTAAATAACAAATAAGTGAACACTATAGTATGTATACAATAAAGCCGTTGTCGCTGCCCCTATGAATGTATGCTTAAATCTTTAAAACTACCCAACGGTTTTCTTAATAGATAGAGTGATTCAAAAGGAAGACTTATATATATATATATAATACATGTACACCCATGCGAAGCCGGGGCGAACAGTTAGTTTACCAATATACAAAAAGAGAAGAAAAAATACTGAAAACGTAAAAAACTTCGTAAAAAAATACTGAAAGACAAACAAATTTACAATATTAGCATGGAAAACAAAAAAAGTATTTAACTATTGATACCTTTTGTATTATTATTGAATGTTTATTCCGAAAATACATGTTTAGAGATTTAGATTAAAAATTCAGACACATGTTTCCGAATCAACGAAGTTTTATCATATCAAAGATAATTGCGCTTACAAAATTTTGATGATAAAATATACACATAGTGAGTTCGTGTGAGAGAAGCTTACTACGCAACTGTAATGTTGCAGTCTCCATAGTGAATGGACAAATAGACAGAGAGCTAGAGTTCAATTTAACAATTTCTACTTACAATACCTTTAATCGAGTACCTATCTAAATAAAATTTAAATATGTTAATAGTTTTATATGTACGAAAATCACAAAGTTATGAGCATCCAAGCGAAGCCAGGGTGATCCACTAGTTTATAAATTAGTAGGATACGAACATAATCTTAATAATATTATAAACGCGAAAAATTCTGCGTATGGATGTTTGTTACTCTTTCACGCACAAAAACTGAACTGATTTTGATGAAACTTTACTGTTCTATATCTTATGTATCAGAATAACATATAGGTTATAAATTTCACGCGTGTGAAACTGCGGGCACAGCTAGTATTTTATATATATTCTTAAATCTTTTTTAAGTACATTCATTATAGTCTAACAAATGGCTGCGAAAATTGCATGAGCATAGCAATTTTTTTCTTCTTTTTTTCTCTCTGGCAACACTGCCGATAACAGTCTTTGTCAGTTGGCTCTTATTTATTTATTGTTTTTAATTTATTACTTGTGAAATAACGATACTAGTGTATATAATCAGTGAGTTTTGGGCATAAGTAACGTCGATTGTTGTTGGTGTGCAAATCTGTGATTTCTTTGTGACAAAAATCTACGTTACAAAATTTGTGGGACCGCCAACTGTCAAAGTATTGGTAATCTACAATAGAAGTCTTGGATTTCTATTGACTCCTTTAATAATTAAATACAGTTATTACACTTCACTATTACTATATCCGTTTACAAATAAACAATAATATTAAAGTTAAATATTCGATAGTGAAGATCGGTTGTTGTTGTTGAGAGGAAAAAAAAAACTACCCACTAACATAAAATATTATTGTTATTGCAATACAGCTCATAAAATTTATTTATTATCATATTGATAATATATTCCAAATAGCTGTGCGAAACTAAACTTATGTATTTGATTAAATAACAATACAATATTAGTAATCCATAGCCATTGCTAGATATCATATGACAAATTAAGACATATTTACTGTAGTGGTAATATATAAGATTAATTATTTTTTTGTATTGGTATTTAAAGTTTTTACTAACAATATTTATTTATTTATTTATTATTAAATTATTTATTGTATTATTTTATTGAAGGGAAATAGCGCACTTTCAACATTGTATTTCTTCTATTGAATAATATTCATTGTTGTCTTGTTTCGTAGATATTTAACATAATAATTAAAAATGATGTCCCGCAGAGCATGTGATCTTGATGCTAAGCTCAAGGTGACACTCTTAGAGTTAAAAAAATCCAATGAATTAAATAAGGCCTTATTACAGGAACGAGATGAAAGTGAGATTGAAATTAAGTTGATGTCTGATAAATATGGGGCTCTGAAGAATGACCTAGTGAAGATCAGTACAGACTTTGAAGTTCTACATATCGAAAATGAAAAACTTCAAGAAATTGTAAATAAATATGATCTGTGCAGAGACACATATGAGTCAGCATTGCAGAAAATCACTCATCTAGAGCGGCACCTTGAGGAAGTTCAATTACAAAATAAATCTTTGTTGGATCACAGGCGGTTGAGTAGTTATAACGAGACCATGGATCTGTATACAGAAATGTTAAATACTACTAGTGATCAAACATCTGCTCTGCCCCTTGTGACCATAGATTTGGCAAATACACCAAGCTCCTATAGTCCTAATAAAGTACCTATTAATAGTAGTAAGAAGTTAAAAAAATATGTAAAATTAAATAAATTTATTCGAAAATCAGAAAATTTAGTGAAAAGTCATAAAAAGTGTTTAAAATCAATTATTACTAGGAAGCAAAAAATTGACTTATCAATAGAATTAAATAATTGTAAAGAAAAAATATATAACAAAGATTTAGAAATAGATGAATTATCACAAAAAATTAAACTATTAGAGAACTCGTTGTCCAATTTATCTTTGAAATACGAATCAGCTAAGAATGAAATACATGAATATTCTGATCAGTTGGATAATTTAATAAAATTAGGTAACTACAACATGGAGCGGTTTGTTTCTCTTACGGATAGATGTCACTGTAATTCACCAGAGTCTGATAACTATATCCAACCGTCCCACCATAATCAGTTGAACATTGATATCTCATCCGTCACGGAACCAGACGTTTCATGTTTACCCACACGAAACAGTACAAAAGTAAATAAATGCAGCACTGTACATGAAACCATCAGGAGAACAATTATTTATTCAGATGAATTTGGCAAGGATTTAGGTAATTTATTATCGAACTGTCTCTCGCAACAAGTAATAAATAATTGTTTTCCGGGATCAGGTATATATAAGATTATAAGAAATATAGTAAATGAAAAATATGATATTCACACGACCCTAGTAATAGCGTTAGGGAATTGTTTGCATATGCGTAAATCTGATATAGTTAATTTAATAAAATCATTATATAATATAGTGGAGCTTGGTATAGGTAAAATATTATTATGCGCATTTCCCTACTCTCAATCCCTGACTAATGAACAGAATAAGTTCATTTATAGTATAAATAATTTAATTTATTCGATGACATATCATTGTAATGATATATTTTATTTTGAAAGTAACAAATTTGTTACAAATTATTATATGACGGGAGGTAATTTTTATCTTCCTAAAAATCAAAAAAAGACTATTGCTAGTTTACTAGCGTATAACATTTATGATCCCATTATAAGTAGTATAACGGATTTAATTAGTAATATTAGTAATAATACTAATAATGTGACATGTGTTAATTTAAACTAACATCTACGACATTGGTTAAGCCACA